GCTTGAACACATTTATTTTATTTTCAAAATTTTAATAGTAACTAACAGTAAAAGATAACCAAAACTGTAAACCATATTATACATAGAGAGCACCTGTTTTGACCAGTATCACCTCAGTGAGCCAAGATTGCTTTGGATCTGCTTTATCAAATACAAAAGATGAAATACATATGTGATTGGCAATCCCTTGGTAAATAAGCTCTCTGTCCTACATGGTAACTGAAATGAGAACGGTTCCAATTTGTACTTATTTTTTACTTTAATCTGAATTAACTTTTTTTCACAAAATTTGACACATTCCAATACGTTCCGCTAGTCTCGGTTCAACTATTAAACCTAGATATGTGTTGATAAATTCCCTAATGGCAAGTGTTTGTGTTTTATCAACACATTTGTACAATTATTATGTCAGAACATTTCTCTTAATCCAACTAAAAACATAAAGATGAGTATAATGCTGTCATGGGATCAGAGAAATTCTGCCTCACACTCGGTTAAATAAGTCTCAAACTGAACAACATTATTGAAATGAAAACTTTCTTCTTTCAGAATTATAATGTGTAAACAAAAGTCAAAGAACAATCTGAACATGTCATCTTTAACACCAGTTTGGTAGCTCTAGAGATCTGCCCTCTGTTCAGGAGTTACCACAGTCGCCCTTCGTCTAAGAACACAAATGAGACAAAATGAGTTATCCTGGGCAATCCAAGATAAAAAAGAAGCCAACATTTGTTTCCCTTTCTTCTAGACAGTTCTTGTGAAGATGAATTAGGTATTGGTCTCTTCCCTCTTCCAAAACCCCCATGCCCTAGATTGGTTCAACAGCCCCACCCTATCCTTCAATTGGCCTTGATGACCTTGGCAAGTGACCTTGATCATAGCTGTGACCTTGATCATGACATCACACCACTACTTCCTCTCCTATGACGTCACCTATCATCAAGAGGGACTGTGAATTTTTTATTTCCTGTCTGGCAGTGAACCTGGCGGACCTGCACTGTAAATATGTGTGGATAATCTTCCATGTAGGACGACAAAATTTTCTAAAAAATATATATATAAATGACTATAATAATTATAACAATAAGGCTTATTGTGCTCCCTTTGCAATATCTACAAAAATTACTGAATGCATATACAGTATATGTTGTACATATTGAAAGTATTAAATTGGAGTAAGATTCAATTACTAAACATTTACTTTCAAAATAAATATTAAAGAGAATTATAAAAACAAAATGTAGTGTTTGTCATTCTTTAAAGTATATACTTTCAAATTAATATGACCTCATTTTCTGAAGCATGTTCCATGAGACAATTAGGTGAAAAATGTGAGATATGGACAGAACATACTATCACAACATTAACTGCCATAATTCTAAATCATTTCTTTGTCTCAGGAATATTTCTTTAAGTCATGCTAGCACAACCTTTCTCTGTTTTGTGAAGCCAGATTGATTAACCTGTAACTTACGTCGAGTGATGCCCTAATCTTAGGAGTGACCTCTTGTGTGATATCCCCCAGTGCCCATAGAACACTCATATGAAATGATGGATTCTGCAATAGGCATATAAGGTACATTCCCAATGAGACTATAGTTCTATGAAATCGATCCAACTCTGTAGAGACCCTCAGTGAATGCAGTCAGATAAACACACCTCTTCTTGGCTGGAAACAAGAGGAGGTGTGTACACCTGTTAATCAGATTATTTTCAGCAAGATTCCCAGCAGAGTTGGGTCGATCTATGTAGAATGATAGTTTCATTGGGAATGTGCCCATATTTAACTATAGACTTATCAAATGGATGAGTGCCGTACAGGATGGCATAAACTAGCTGCAGATTATATACAAAATAAACATGTTTTCCTATGAATAAAGTACTAAATGTTTTATAGATAAGGTTTAAATAAAGTTGCTTACCAATTACGTCTGCCCTTTGAATTTCTAATTTAAAAATACAGATTGATGGTTTACAATTACTTGTGACTTTATTCTTTGATTACAATATTTCACCTTATAATACTTTTGTAGATGGAACTCCTCCAAGGTGTTATCAACATTTTCCACCAAGCTGCACAAATTTTTAAAACCATGCTGAACTTTTAGACCCAGGAAAGACCTAAAAAGAAATTAAATGAAATGGAAATTAAATGGCTAAATTAATCTCTGGAAGATAAAAGACAGCAGGCATATAATAATCATCAATTAAAAATGAACAGCTTTAATTTTTATCATTACAAATAAAAATTAATAATATATATTTAATTTACAATAAAAAGGGTCCTCATGAATGACATTAAAGAGTTTTGATCCAAGTAGTCTACTAACAACACAGAATACACTTTTCTCGCAATCCTATGGCTTGACACAGACTGTACAGAAGAATACCTACCTGGTTTTCTCATCATTAGTGTACACTTCTAATTCACCAAACTGGCAAGTAAAGCTAGAATAGTAAAACTAAAATTTATAAGCAAAAACCGAAATCATTTCTAAAGAGACTAAATGTGTATTTGTAATTATGAGGCCTCTTAGATGTAGATAGGTCTATTGTTCGTATTCTAACAAAAGGTTTATTTTAAACCATCCCAAGAGACTTAGAAAAGGACTATTTCAACCAACATCTGTTATCTTTTGTATTTTGAGAACATCATACACTGTACGTACTAGTTTCAGTATAGTGCCACATTACCTTACAGCGCAGTGTAGCTTGTCACGGAGTGTGGCGACAAAGGAGTCAATCCAGTGATGCCTCAGCACCACTGTCCGAGAAAGACTGACATGGAAGTCGTCCACAACCTTCACGTTAAGTCCACCAGGAAGACAGGCTTGCAGTTCATTGATGAGGTAAAGAAACTGTTCGTCTGGATTAACTAGAAAAAGAATTTATGTACTGTTAGGAAAAGAATGCTGGCAGCATAACTAGCAGCTATGACATTTACTGTATTTGGCAGCAACATAATAATGATGGACAAAGATACACATAAATTCACATTGTTTAGTGCAAAGACTTTTTTCTTAAGGGAGCAATAAGATATTGAAAAACTTGACTTGAACAGACACATTACGAGCAAAGAATAAACAACTCTTGATTTTTTAGTGTGTATGAAAAGGACGTACCTTAATTTACGTAGCATTGTTTTACACTTCAAATTCAAGAAAAAAATTGGCCTTCAGAGCAAAATGAGTCTTGTTATCAGATTTATGTATTTTATGCAAAATTTTTACAACAAAGTGCACAGAAAGGGTATAGCTAGCTTACAGGGAATATAAACATATGTTGCCCATATGCCGTGCTCATGTGGAAAACTTCTTATTCGTCCATCATGTTCTTCTGGGATATCTTGGCTTTCTTTTTGATCTTGGAACATGGCTTTTATGTTGTCTGGCAAAGGAAGCCTGTCACTATAAAATAAAATTGACATGGTCACTTTAATGTTAGTGTTAAGAAATGAAAACAATTGGTCTTTTCAAATTGGTGTAATGCAAAAGAGAATTTTTTGCCCCCAAGATTACATCAATACAAAATGCTTTTACCCGTAATATTGCATTCTATGTATAAAAAATAATATAACTGTTATAAAGACATGAAGTGTAAACCAGTCTGCTAACCTTTAACCATTTACCCGAGATTCCTAAATATAATGATATATAATTTCTACATTGCTTGCCATTTTCAATTGCAGAGATGGTAAATGGATATAGCATATGATTAGTACTTAATTTCCAACCATTTAACAGACTCTGTCAGGCAAGTAAAAGTAAAAATATTTGGTAAAAAGTAATAGTTTGTAAAAAAAACAACAGTTAAAAAATTGCATGCGAGTGTAAGAACATTTTACAATTATCACAAAAAACATTCATGTAAACATTAAAATGAAAATACTGTTATTTACAAATGCATGCAAAAAGCTCAATCTGTAAGAGTAAAAAACATGCCTGGTGGGGCTAAAACCATTCAAAAGTTTGGGGGGGGGGGAGCTGTCAGTAAAATGTAAGAGGGGTTAATAAGGGAGAAAAGAAAAAATCCAGTTGTTAAGACCAACATGTGCCCTGAGCTTCTTCACTTTCAAACATCCACATGTGAGTGCTTCAATTCCCAGACTCTGACATTCAGCAGCCTCTGATTCAATTTTATCAATCACATTTCATCATCCAAATATCATTCCCCTGTAATAAAGCATATAACTCATACAAGTAGTTATCAGACCCATCTATCAGACCTGTCGAACTGGCACTGACCCTGAGGTCACATGTGTCACTGACTTGTTGACCTTGAAAAAAAAAGTTGCGGAATGTCAGAAAGAATGCACCTATTGAGTTCTGAGAAATAAAGAAGCTGGCACTGAAATACAAGGTAAAACATGGAAATGATATTCAAAACTATCCTTTTTAGTTGGAATTGGTTGCTGTTAGCTGATCTTGTTTAACATCCCAGATATAATACCTGAGTGCCGGGGTCTGGGGTCTATGGAGATTTAGGATATATATTTAATGGTTGTCATCTTGTCCTTTCAAGTCCAGCTACATGTACAGGTATGGTATGGATCAGTTGTCCACCTTCCTCCAAAAACGGGTGGAGCAGCAAACTAGGTGCACAGTATTTGGACAGGGAAAACTAGCCAAACAATCACTTGTTGCAAGATCCCCCCCCCCTTCCAAAAGGAAAAAAAAACAAACTTGGCCACATTATTTCACATCTAAGTAGCTTTGAATTTTCTCTACTTTCTACATATAAAGAGACATAACCCAAACAAAAAATTGGGGCAGATATGCAAAAAGACAAAAGGAAATAAGCAAACATACAAACTACTAAAGGTTTAGATACATGTACATATGCCAGAAAATATCCAAAACATGTCTCTAAATAAATACTAACAAAATGTATTAACTGCTATTTTTGTCTTTTTTCTTTTTTTTTTAAATCCGCTACAGCTCTCAAAAGAAAAAAAGTAAAAACAAGTTCAATAAAATGTTCTTAATAAGGTGAGCCACAAAGCCACTAGCACCTATGTTATCCTTTCTGAAACTACTGCTTCTTATAGAGCTTCAAGGCATTCTGTCCAGTCACTTTTAAGATGTGTTCCACACTCACTCCTCTTATGTTTGCAACTAATTCAGCCGTTCTAAACAGTTGCTTTTTGGAAGATTCTGACTGGTCAACTTCATACAGATAGGGAACATCCGACTCCAACAATATCTGTGAATCTCGAAGCATTTTCAGTGCTGCCCTCTGCCCAGGATTGAAGGAACCTACCAATCCAGTGAACCCAAAATGGGTGCGAGGAAACTTCTTTAGCCAATGCTTCACAACATATTTGGTCCCATAGAAATACCGCAAGTGGATCATATGGTAGGATGGCACAACATTTTGGAGATGGTCAAGAAGCATCAGGTAGGCATGCTGTCCCTGTTTATCATAAAGCGTGCTATGGCAGTACAAAACCAGAACATGCTGCCACTTCAGGAATGGCAAAATGTTCAACAACATCTGCACTTGCCGTGACCAGTCTTCCATGGGCTCTGTGAAGTCAAATCCAACATGGCCTAATGCCACAACACTGGGGTGCTTCATCAACTGTGCCAATGCCATCACCCAACTATTCTGCAAGCTGAGAGACTCTGAGGCATACTGAGGATGCAAACCTATGGCTATATTCCTGTTTCCTGGGCAATTATCCAGGCTTTCAAATGAAGGATAAGTATTGGGATCACAATAAAATGCCACCGAGCCTCCAAATGTGATCTCGGCCCAGGCTGGTAAAGACTGAGGAACCAATTGGTTTTCTGTCTGAATCTTTACCTCAGGCAGAGGGTGACTGCTAAGACTGCTCAAAGATGATGCTGGACCATCAAAACTAACCTCCTTCCATCCCACAGAAGGACTGACATGGCTCATCTCTGATGTGCCTCCAAGTACCCTGTTTGCCTGACAGGCTCTGTCTGCAGGAGACCGAAAAGTGTTCACCAAAAATTCCCTCTGAACAGGTAACAAAATGGCCGAGATGACCAACAAAACCCTCCAGTGACACAGCACACCTATGGCATTAACGGGACGCAATCTGAACTTCTTTGGGGAAGGGACTCGAACAAAGTCACACATGGTCTTCATGGCTTCCCGTTGGACAGGGGATATGGGACATCCAGACAATGATCTTAAATCCACAACCCTGTTAACATACTGAACCAGGTCATTCCATTTTCCGGGCCTTCCCACCAACCATACATATAACATGGTGAGGGCTCTCCTTCTCTCCACCAGAACTTCTTCAACACACGGCAGACACTCATCAAATACTGATGGAATGTGCAGTCCTTGGGCATGGGCTTTTAAGTCAACAGTTTTGGTTTTACAGCCTGGAACAATGCACTGCTTTTTCTTCACTTTCTTTTTAGGGTTGCTTAAGTCCTTACACTGACATGGAGGTACACTGCTTTTGATTGCAGTCTTCCCTTTCTTTTGTTTTCTTTTTCTCTTTGGTTTCTTAAGATTTTGTACTGGTTGGCATTCCATACAATCAGGAGAATTGGACTGTTCTGCCCTCTGTCGTTTCCTTTGCTTTTTGTTCTTTCTTTTCTTCTGTCCATTTTTCACCTTGATCTGATCAGGTATGGCCTCCCTTTATTTAATAAATGATATATATTAATAATATGTATCCCTTTAAGGGATATATATTATTAATATATACACATCATTACTAACACAACTCAACACACCTTTACTACTAACACCACTATTATTCTAAACTTTTTCACTAACAACATATATGCATCATTGCTTTTAACACAACTAATTAAAACTGTTTAGTGAACCAAATGTTAATTCTCTGGGAATATGATTTGCATCAAAACAACATACAGACTGTATAGTCAGTCAGCCCATTAATTCTGATCAAAGCATGAAAAAAGTTAGTTTGTTAATTCTCAAAGAGATGCCATATTGCTAATGGTAATGTTGTCAAATATTAAGCAATCTTTCGCCAGGATATCCCTTGCTTTAGAACTAAGATCACTTTGAGCAAAGAATTTCAGGTGGAATTCCGGTTGACATGTGATGGGATTTGGCTCAAATAGATCTTTATCAACTAAAAAATACCCAAGTTTAACAGATTTCTGCACCAATACTAATTCATCCTCAAGCATTTTAAAAACAATTCTTAGTAGAATCCAGGCCTGAGGCTACTGTGTAAAATGATACAACTAGGAAAAAAAGGATAAATAATTTAAAAGTCTCCTTTGTTTAAATCAATGATCTATCATCTAAGGGAAGTTGTGTGACTGAGGTAGTTATGATAGCCTGCCGCATTATCAGCATGACATTGCACATGGTCATTGCTAGGCATCAGCAGACACAAGTCTAAAAATAAGGGTGTGTGCACAAAGAAATTAAAAAGATTGATTCATAACCATACTCTTAACCAAGTTAAGTCTGTATGTTCCATAAAGCTGAGACTGAGAAAGTAGGACATGTACTACTTAAGATATAAAAATCTCAAAAACCTCCAGATGCTTATCAAAATACACAGTCAAAACTTTCAATACTCATTGTCATCAACAAGTTCACCAAATATGCATCATGATCTTCGATAGCATTTTTTAAGAGAAGTGTTGTAAAAAGGTGAGTTTTGAACTGGATTTAATACAAACTGTCAGCAACAGTTCATCCAATCCCCTCCTTTTTGGAACTCTCCCAACTCTTAGGCTCCAGCTTGTATATAAGCTGGGCATTTTCTACCATTCAGCCTGCGCATCAGCGGCTCAACGGCAGTGATTCTCTCACCGGCCCAAGCCTCAGTGGCGTACCCGGCAGCCCACCATGACAGCGGTCTTACCAGCAGCAGTTTTCAATTTGTTTTGTTTTATTTTAGTCAAAATTTGTATTGTTTTTTCGTAACATTAAATTTCTTATGTTATTTATATTGTTCTTGTCTTTTTTTATCTTCGATAGTCTCCAACACAAACAATGCCACTTACTTCCTATTTATTTATGACATTGCTTTTTCAGGCCCATAATGCCATCTCAGGTAACACCAGAAATAAGCATATGGGGTAGTCTACCTGAAAAAAATACTTTTTTCGTATAGTAGAAATTACTACAGTAACTGTTCATGTAGTTCCTCCCAGAGGAGATGAGAGCACTCAGTCAGCACAAGTGCCTATAGTAAGGATGACAGAGAAGCTGGTTAAGTGGCTCTACACAAGACTTCCTTCCAATAAACAAAGCTACACACTCTCCTTTCAAACTCAGCCCTGAAAGGAACAGGAGCAAAAAAAAAAGGAGCCTGTTGGTCTAGAACAAGAAAGAAATTTATACAATGTTGGGGTCTTGGTCTTAAAATTGATATACATATGCTGGATACTACTGAAAACCTGGGAGAAACTATTAACAATAAGATCGAGGAAGATTTTTGGAGACCTGGCCCCCGTTTCACAAAGAATCTTAAATCCGTAGTCGACTAGCTGGGTGGCCTAGCTAGGTCGACTTAGCTGAAGTCGACTAGGAGTGTTTCACAAAGAATCTAACGTCTTAGCTTGAAAAGTGACAACTATAGTAAACTTAGGACATAAAGGCTACTTTAAAAAACATATGCTCCTAAAAAAAATTTCTCAATAAAAGCATCGCCCTCGGAAATAAAGACTTGCGAAAATGCGGGTTAGTGATCACAACTTGGAAATTGAACAGGGTTGCTATACATCTCCAAATACCCCTACTGAGAATAGTAAGTGCCCCACTATGATGAAATTGAAATGGAAATTCATTTTTACTGAAATGTAAAGAACCTAAGAGATGGAAGAAGTAGACTCATGATACCTCCTGAGCAGAAAACAGACCATGAAAAACTTGACTGGCTGCTCAGTCCAAAAAGTGAAACATGCTTAAGAGCCTTACATATATATATATATATATATATATATATATATATATATATATATATATATATATATATATATATATATATAACTGAAAGTTTGAAGAAACGATACACTCTTCACTAGCAATAGTCATTTAAATTTATCCCTTGCTATTTCCCAGTAATCATTCCATATGTAATTTGTATTTATACAGATGTTATTAAACTAAAAGTAGAGTAGAGAGCCTGTAAAATGTAACCTGTACACAATTCCTCATTATTTGGTCATCAGGATGACCATGAATATCACAAAATGGATGACAAGAAGGCCTAATAAATACCACAATGATCAACTGTTCTTCAGATTCCTTTCTGGCAACTGGCAATTACTGTCACCAAAGGACACGGGGTGATGCTCACCAGGCCCGTAGACAGGGGGGGTTTGGGGGGTTTGAAAGAACCACCCTTTTTGTCAGGAAAAGTTTAATCTGGGTAAATTTTGTTCCATGTGTTCTAAGGAATCATTGTAAAAGGTCCACTTTTTCGGAAAAACGATCCCCCTTTTGAAATTGTTGGGTATGGGCCTGCTCACTACACAGAAGTAACAACAGAAATGAAGCCATTGTCTAAACAGCAGAAAACTATTCCACCTGAGTCTCCTGTAAAGAGCCAGGATATTGGGCAGATAAGTCAGCCACTGTCAGACAGCGACAGATTGGGAGTTCTCACTTCCAGATTCAGACCATCCAAGGGTGGAAAACGCCTCTGAGAGAGTTCAGTGGCAAAAGACAAGGAGTACCTACTGTCTTTTTTGATGCCGCTCAATTTCAAAATTTAAGATACAATTGCACCCAAGAAGAAATTTACTGTGTTCCCTGTTGGGTGTTTTCTTAAGGAAGCACTTTTATGGTTTCAAAACCACTGACCACGTAGGGAAGCATGTCTAGGATTGTCGCTCATCATCAGCAAAGCAAGGGCAAAGGCATCACTGCAGAGCAAGCTGCAGGGTTTCTCCGCATCTGCAATGGGAAAGAAGCAAGTATTACGCAGCACCTATCGCAGGCTTAAAAGGAACACAACAAAAGAATACAAAGACATTCTAAGATCAATAGCCATCACACTGTTGACATGTGTACAAAAAAACATGCCAATAAGAGGAAAGACTGAAGAACAGTCAAATTTTTTGGCATTTCTTCAGTTGTCAGTATCTAACACTATGTCTCAGCACAATGAGAAGGGCCCATGAAATGCTCAATGCATATAGATTTGCATATAAAATGAACTGCTAGATCTGATAACAAAACAAGTACAAGAAAACATTATTCCTGAATGCACTGTCACAGCTGCTCAGTATTAAATCCATTGACCAAGTGCTTAAGGACTTTGACTGTTCTGACCACAGGAGAATCCACATGGCATTTTAAAAAAGACTGTGTTGCTTGTAGTTCCCATTCATGAGTTTCATATTTTAAAAAATGATAATAAATAAATGAATTAAAAAAAAAAAAAACATTCTTTCGGTGAATAGATCTTAATAGTAAAATGAATTGTGAACATACACATGTGCAATCTAACTGTTTACATTTTTTAATACGAACTTTTTCATGTACAATACATAATTGATCAGCAGTTGTTAATCCTTGAGTCCATAACTCACCTTTTACACTGACACTTCACTGAAAAACTATAAGCAGAGCTTGTGTAATATAGGGTATAGTATCCATATTTGGTTTACTTGTTGATAAAATTAACTTATACTATTTTCTGTGTTATCTATATATTATATTGTAAATGTTCATGGTTTCAAGGATTTCTTATTAATTATGATTCAGTGACTGTGTAATCTATTATATTTTTCATGGTTCAAAGATTTCATATTTATGTCTTAGTGATAATAAGTACATTGGAACAAATTAGTTATGAAACAGCTACGCTGTCACAAGAGCTTTGACAGGGTGAATACCCACTGGTCATTGGGTTTAGATTGATTAATGGGTAGTAATTTGCAGAATGACCACAGCAACAGCAGTAGAGAATACCCGCATTGGTGCCCCCCCCCCTTCAAATAAGCCTGGATCCACCCCTGGTCTATGAATACCATTGGTCAAAACTCTTTATTGCATTGATTTTTTTTTTTTTTAATTTAATATTATTGTTGTTATTATTATTATTATTATTTATTTTTTTGGAGGGGGGGGGGTGTACTAAGTTACTGGTAACCAATTACCACCCCGAGTGAGAATTAACCGTTCACAAGTGAGACTGCATCCAACGACCTGTGGCACTCAACCTGGTGATCCTCTTGGGGCAAAAACGCAACGCAGCTTTTGTGTGTGTGTGTGTGTGTGTTTGTGTTTTCGAAGAGCAATATAACTCACACACTACTACTTACTTTTTTTCAATTATTCCTTTTTCTGGTAAGCTTTTCACTTTTTGCTTCTTCACTTTACTTCCATGTTCATCGCTGCACGTGCGCTTCTTTCCATTTCTGTCTGGTTTTACGTCATTATCGTCTTCACTTGAACTGCCCGAGTATGACACGAGTGTCTGACTGGGCGCTGCCATTTTTGTTTTGCATTCGAACACATCACACGTTTCTCAACACCCGATCTCAACTGTCGCAATGCAATCAAAGTGCTAATCAAAGCGCCGCAACTCTAACAAAAACTCAATACAGTAGCTTCTCTTCTGTCTCTTTATTTGTATTAAAGTAAATTCGATTACTTTGTAACTTTTATGCCTTTAAAATGACTGCTTACCTATATTAAACTGAGTTGAAGCGGCGTTACTAGACCTAACTGATTTGGTGTTTCCAATGGCAAATGAACTGCGCCCTCACAAATATTAGCCTACCTCATGTAGATTGCTCTGAAAAAAAGGTATGGTAAACAAGATTTTATATTATGCAGGTGGATGGTTGCTTTATATGTCGGGAATTGAATTCTTTACATCAAAGCAAATTGTCTCGAACATATGATGTGAGTAATTATTTTTGTGTAAGCGTTTTTACATTTTCACGCATTTAATGAACATCTCCTATGTGCCAAACATGCGTTTGATGCGTTCTGGAACAGTTGGTACATGTACCGAAAGGCCACAAACTTTTTGTATGAAATGTGCATGTGGTAACTGTCATATTTCCCCGCCCCCTTTATTGTGATTATTTTCATTGTGCCCCCTTTACCTCCGAGGCTCAGCTGGCTATGGATACTGAGAAGGGGATCGAAACTGGGGCGGGGGGAATAACAATAGATAGGCCTATACCACAAGTTATAATATAAGAAGTGTTCTCTTTTCTTTCCTCTCTTTTCTTTTTCGTCCAAAATGCTTGACAGTTTCTCTACTTGAAAATCTATATAATGATTGCTAATTGTCGTGTCAGAGCTTCAGCAGGTTTGGTTGAATTCTATCGTGCCAGTCAAATATTTTAGATGCGTTTGTTAACTACAAACACGATACAGTAGTGGATTTAGGGGAAGGGTGTCATACCACCCCTCCATCGATTTCTGAAAAAAATCACACCAATGGTCCCCTCTTTAAGTGAGAATTTTGACTAGCTGAATCATAGTTCTAAACCCTACCAAATGGCACCGTTCGCGCTCTAAAATAAATTTCAGCGCGGGTCCCGAACCCCATGCCAATGGTGGTGGTGGTGGTGGGGAGGGGGGGGGGTGGAGGGTCGGCTTTGCATTCGCAGACACCTCCCATCAAATAATCCTGCATCCGCCCCTACGATATGTTGCTTTCAACGGCACGACCAAACAGGATGCCTAGATGCGCGTTTGTGATTGCCGTGCGTAGCGCGGTTAACTGAATAATCAAACTTGTGGTTGACAATGAAAAATATATAAGAGTGCATATTTGTAGGTTTGGAGGAGAAAAAAGCTATTGGCACGCGTCGGGCCCGAAGCTAGAAGTACATGTGGCTACCAAAATACTTATTTATAAATTACTGCTCATTCGCGGAACCGATTTTTATCTTACCGACAGTATATAACTTAGATTAATATATTATATGTAATGCTAGGGCAGTATCTCAGCTTTAGGAAGGATCCGAAGGTCTGGCAAAGTTCATTCTCCAACTCCTTGTCCAAGCATCTTTCATCAAGTTAATATTTCATCGTCATCGAAAAGATGGGATGACAGAACGCAGGCACCCGATCTATCTAAATTTACCGTTATTATATTTAAGGAAGCCAAAAATATATAAATGTATAATTACCACACCATAACAATGATATCACCGTAAAGCGCTTTTGTTATGAAAATTCCTTTTTTTTTGTTCCCGTCCGTAGCATAATTACGTAAATTTGACGGCCATTTTGAAAACAGTCAAATTTATTTTTATTAAATACACGTGAGGAGTTATTTCCCCCATTTATTTCAAGTGTTATACTTAAATAAAATGAAATATATATTTTTTTATAAAAATCACTTTAGATAATTTAAAAAAAATGAAAAAAAGTAATAATAAAAACGAATTTTGGGCTGCTCGAGATATCCCAACTTTATCACATTGACAATTCATCCCGCCAGATGGCGTTGGTGTACGAGCCTTAGAGGGCTAGGAATTGTGGGAATTATTTTGACTATTCTCATTGGTCAATATGTACTAACTTCCTGTACCAAAGTAAATGTCCTGATATGTCATGTGAGTAGGATACAGACTAAAGACTGCTGACACTTAGCATTTCAAAGACTTCTGAAGAAAATACCACTCACTGTGTTTGATATATTTTAGGTAAGCTGGGTAATAATATGATTCGGAACTTTGCCCTACATGTCCAAAAGGTTTGGAGAGAATGCGTCCTCAAAATATTTCCTCGACGTAGACAAATAAAGCGCGCACTGCTTCCGGTAATTTCATTTGTCACATTATCTCAGAAGAAAGGTGGCGCTCTGGTAAGGATGGTCATCACTTGGGGAGTTCCCGAAAAACAGCGTACACTTTCTGTGAGTCACGTTTTAGTGAAAACTTAGGAGCCTGTTACAGTAACGTTATTCTCACTTGCTGAAACGAGTGCAAAATATTGTAAGTGGAACTCTGCAAATGTTTTATTTAAATTCTGTTCGGAGCAGGGGGGGGGGGGGTAAGAAAAGTCAGACGATAGACTAAATGACGGACGAAAACAGCTACAAAACACGGAATTAAGGACACATTTTGAAATGAAATTTTGGGCTCTTTATGCCCTTGCATTTTTAATAATCCCTCACATCATTACTTCCCCACATTGTGACACCCCTGCGTCGTTACACGAGCCCCCTTTAGCAAAACTAATATTAATACCTTCCCTGCACTGTTACTCCCCTTATTGTTTTCTAAAAGATTATTTAAGCTTTAAGAGTTTTCTCAAGAAAGTATGCTATATACATTGTGTCATGTTAGAGTTTTAAAAGACAAATTATAATAACAGCAAAAAAGATGAGGGTAATTTTTTATTTATCTGCTGTTTTTCAGTTAGGTATTTTATATGAATAACTGTAAGCACTACATGTACAGTTACAACTATTGGCATAATTATAAACGAGTAATAGTTGAAAATATATATATAATTTGCTCTTGCGTGTCACATAGAGTGGATGACAAGTATATAGTTGGAACAGAGTTATCCTGAGGCTGTGCTTTAAACAACAGGATGAACATGTTAGTGAAATAAAAATGATTTGTTCTATTGTTCAGGGTGCCAGCCATGTGATAACATCATAATTTTCATCAGTCGCATAATTTTCAAGATTTTTTTCCATAACAAACTTGTGGTTTATCTCCAGTCGTCAAACACCAACAGAAGAATGGATCACAGCAACTGAGTACATCCTTAAAAATACAAAAAATTTGGAATTTTTCAGATGTGACTAATGTAGAAAAATTCCAATAGAGGGCCCTGCCCAACGCAAGCCTTGGGCCAGGAACATGGAAGTTGACTATCCACCTCCTCAAATTTGTATGGATCAGAGTTCTAAGGGAAATGGGAAAAGTACTCCAAATACCGATCACTCCTATAGCAGTGTCCTCGTAGATGACTCACATGTGGATGAGAGCTGTAACGACTACAGTATAAAACCAAATTCCCAGAATAATGTGCATCTTCAGGGGAAGCTTGAGATGGATGCTGGAGACAATTTGTGTCAGGGAAATATTGACTCTGAGACAGGATTATACACTGAAGCAACTATTGTAATCAGCAAGCAAACAGAGGATGGTAGGATAAAAACACAGGAGGAACTACTAGGTACTACAGAAAAATGTGCTGCCAAAGGTAATGCATTGTCACACAATTGGGGACAGATACATATAGTTAAAGAAAATGATGAACACTCAACTCCCCAGAACTTGAGAGACCCACATCCTCATTCAGTTGACCCCATAGACACCTCAGATAATTTGATAAAGGTGGAGAACTCTGGTAACAGTGCCATAGAAGTGAAACAATTGGAGTCGGAACACTGTTATGGGAAGAACAGTAGAGATTATAATCAGGAGAATAAAACTAATCAGAATGTGGAGGGCAGTGATGACACTGATATGGAGATTGATGTAGAGATTGGAGTGGAAGAAGTAGAAGTGAATACCCTGGAAAATGTTGATGAGGGAAGTGGCATGGAGGTTGAAGAGGAAAATCAAGTTCTGATTGATACAGAGGAAGTTGAAGTGTCAACAAAGGCAGAGGGTGGAAAAAGTAATGCTCCAGGAAGTGGTAAGAAGGATTAACAATACTCTTTTAATTGAAAGTAAAATTTGTTGTATCAAATATATTTTAAATTTTTGCAAACTGCATGCACCAGAGATTGGTCTATCATTTTGACAAAGGATGTGTTCACAACCAACTTGAGCTGTGGCCTAACTACTAGTAAGCAGTGGCCTAAATATGGCACAACCCACTTAAAAGCATGGTGTGCAATCCCCTAATAGAGCCAAGAGTTCAATTCTCTGCCCCTGCAGGAATGGCGCCAGACATGCTGAAACTGACGATCCGATCGGTCATTACCGGGAAAATTTTTCTGGACTGGTAAAAATTGGACTCGGTCGGTCCAAAGGACCGCCAAGAGTATTAAGAACCACAATTTTGAATTTACATTCATCATTCGACATATTTCACCAATAAAATTATATAAAACCCAAAGCGTTTTTCCACTCCATTTAAAACCTATCACATCCACAAACAAAGTAAGCTACCTAATCGTACTGTTAGTATCTGTCTCAAACGAATAGGTTGATTTTTGGTCTGACAAAAGTCACTCGGACCAGCAAATTTTTCATTACTGCCGGTCCAAATGTCTGGCCATTCTGAAAAGTTTTCAGCATATTTGAAGTGTGCGTGTTAGGCGGGGAATCCATCAGGGAATTGCACGCCTTGCTTCCCAGTGTGTGCCATATACGAGCTGGGGCTCAGTTAGCTATATAGGCTGTGTGGTATCTTGGTTGTGAACACTCCCTAAGTAGTAAGTAAGCTTTCTGGATACACAGGCTTCAGGTTCTTGGCTCAGAAATAATTTAAATACAGTAAAGACATAATCTTTTTAATGGAGGAAAATTGAAAGTTTTTCAGATACTGTATTTTAAAGGCATAATTGCTTATAATAAGAGCATTCCTAAAAATGAAAGAAACCTGGCAACCGAATTTAAAAGTAGGCTGCTGTTTAGTTCTATTCCACGCAGTAAAATCACCACAAAAAATATAGAAATATAATGTTTATGATTTTAAATTATCTGCCTGAAAATTTGATCCTTTTTGCCCATTGATAATATGGAGTCATAAATATAATCAAAATCCTTAAAAATATTCTGGCTATGATTTCAGCATTGCAAACTCTCAAGGCACTGGCAACACCCTTCCAACATTCAGAAACGAAGAGCTCCGATGTTGACAGCAGGATTCTGGCTTTGGTCATCCACTCACTGGAGAATGAGTCCCTTGCAGACCATTCTCTGTACTCCTTTATGACAGTGAGAGTGCATTTAGTGAATGGAATAACTGGAAAACCAATGCAATGTCAAAATGGGTATGAATAAGTTATTAAATGTGCAGTCTGGAAGTATAGTGTTACGTTAGCAGTAATAATGTCCTTGACTTCAATGTCTTACATTTTTGAGTTCATGGTCACAGTCATCGTATATATTTTCTGAAAATATTAGTATTTTATTGAATTCCTACCCCAAATATATAGGTCTTATTATTAACCAGTAGTTTAATGCCTACATGTCCATTTCTTTGAATTTTCTTATAAAGGATGAGTGCGAATAAGGGGGTAAAAGTGCCCACTTTTGTACATGAAAAATAAATTGTGAATGAATGAAAAAAAATTGATGCCTAATTAAAGTTGGGGTCTTACACTTTTATGATCCACATAAAAAAATATTTTTTATTGAATTTGAAATATAAAAAATTAATGGCAAAATGACCTTGTCAAATATTCATGAAAATGTGTGTGCTAGGGGGGGTCTGAATTGTAATGCTACATATCTTCAGTTATAGTAAGGTGACAACTGTGAAATTTTGTAATTGGGTACAGAAGGTGCCTGTGTAAAAAAGAAAGGCAATAAGTGGCCAATCANTCCTTTATCTCTAACATAATATCATTTAGTTTTAATTCTGAACCACAGTCCTAAACGTATCCCCATTAAAAAAAAAAATGCACTAAAGGATACTTTTTGAAAGAGTTTTTACTAAGGGCTCGTTCCCACTGAAACTGTTGTTCTACATTGATTGAACCAACTACGCGGGGACTTTAACTGAAGTTTAACAGACTATGAAGCCTCCTCCTGGCATTGAGTAGAATACAGAAAAGCTGGGCCCAGTTTTATAAAGGACGTTTCTAAAGCACTAACCAGTGGATAAGCCTAACCAGTGGATAAATTCTCCATTAACTAAAAGATGGTTAAAATGTGTTTCATATACAGTGTTCTGACTGAAAACGGCCAATAAGTTAACTGGCCAGTGTTTAACTGGATAAAATAATTATTTAAAGATCAGTTAACTAACAGACTGTTTAAACACTGTTTATGAAACACAATTTCATCCGTCATTTAGTTAACGGGGCTTAGAGTTAAACACTGTTTAATGCTAAACGTCCTTTATAAAACTGGGCCCTGGTGATTATAATTAATACAAGTATGTTGAAAATGAGGAGGGGTGTTAATCTAACCCAGACACCTTGTAGCTTTCATTATGCTTTTAATCCTTCTTATCAAATTTAGGGAGATGGTTTTACCTAGGATGACAAAACCATGGGACTTTAAAGTAAACAGGTAAATGCACCAGCTATATATTATAGTTTATTTACCTCTGCCAAGGAGGTTATGTTTTCACCTCTGTTTGTCTGTTTGACTGTCTGTCATCAACATAACTCAAAAAGTTATGGACCGTTTTTGATGAAAATTTCAGGAACTGTCACAAGTGGGCCAAGGAAGAGATGATTAGTTTTTAGTGGTGAACTGGATTAATGATCAATCAATAATCAATTATAATCGAAAGTTGCTGCCTTGGCTGAGGTCTGCGGTCTCGGAGTGCTTTTCTAGTTGGTGTTATAAAACAAGTAGACTTTAGAGTATGATACTGATTGCTCTAAGCATGGCTTCTAAAATTCTGTTTTTGTAAATAAGAAACTTTTTCAGATTATATATTCAGGTATTTCAGCATATCCTACTTTGCTAAATAATCAGGAAGACATGTAGCTAGATATAGAATGCTCGTGGAGAATTTTGCTTTGACAGTCCTTCATAACCTTGCAGCATGGCTAAGAATAAAAAACAATACACAAAGACAGTTTTTATATGTAGGGCATGAGGATGAAAAAATTGTTTTGTCTCATTTTGCTGTTTTAAAGCGTAAAGTGGGATTAGTATAGATGAGTTGAGACCCACATAAATAGTTATGGGACAGGATTTAATCTTTTTTTTTTTTTTTTTTCAGAACGAAGACAGCTGTGTGGGAAGAACTTTGCCTCTTTAAAGAAAGTTACAATTACGTCATGGAAGAAAAGCATCAGGCAGTTTTCCTGTTTGAGGTAAAGCCAAGTGTAATGAAGCGCCATTCCATAATCAGTATTGCCTTAAACTTTTCAGCTTATAAGTAACTGGCCATTCAGGCCACCACCTTGAAATTCCAAAAATCTACAGGCCCAAATCGGGATTCACAATTATGAATACAATATTTTAGTAAGACTGGACATATTACATGATGGCATGGATATTTACTAGTAACAGAACCTTGATTTTGTTAGACAAGAATCATCATTTAACAGTGGCATTGCAGAAAAAGTTAACCAAACCAAACGCTCTTGAAAACATCAGGAAAAACCTAATGGCCTCATCAGACCACTAAATTCACTCATTCTAAAAAATTTTCTGGTTCAAGCAAAATTTTACTGGCCACAGGCATAGGACCAGTGGCTATTTTGTGGACTGCATAGTTTTAGGTCAAAATTTGACTTTGGCTGAAACACAGTGACATTCACTAAACTTTGGTTTGATGAGATCAAGTCAGTGGCCTTTGTAGGCAAGTATGTGACCTTTTAGGTCACATGTGACCTTTTGTTATGCTGTTTATGATGTAATCAAGTCTGCAACTTTGTGATAAATTACACCATAATGGTTTAGTGTACTTTCAATTATTTGAAATATATCTGATTTGAGTAAGCAGTATTTTCTCATGGAGTATTGAAAAAAGACAATGCTGTCATGTATATTTATACTTCAGGTAATGGATGCTTCTAGTTTGAATACTGCCAACCTGAAGAACCGGCTTGCAGTAGCTGGAGAAGGCAGGGTGATAGCATGGGGGTTCTTGCCAGTGAGTAGTTCCTTATGATATCACACTTAAAACACTGCCATACATAGCTCATTAGCAGGGCTTTTATACTGCCATCTAACATACCCCAATCACCAGTGTTCTTGAAAAACTTTGGACACATTATGTCTGACATAAAATATCTCTATGTCAGTCATTTTTTTATCATGTCAGACATTTGAAAAATATATAATTTTTCATGGTTTAATTATAAAAACAAGTCCGATAACAACAGCAGCACAAAATAGTGCCTACATCAGGTACACTGTGAAATAGTGGCCTCATTTCTCAGCATGTCACAGTCTGTGACATAAGCTTTTCAGCTCTCTGACCATTCGCATCACCAATTGCTTACAATCACTTGTCTGACTTAAAATTCACTGGCCCGAAAAAAAAATTCCAACAGACTGGACATTTACCTCTATTACATCAATACTAGTAAAAACGAGACCTTGCTTTGTCAAATCTTTTTATATTTAGAATTACATGTAAGAGTTTGAGATTTCAGAAAAATATCAATCAAATTGAAAATGTCCACTAAAAACTTTCAGTTTCACAACAATTGTTTTGGTAGAATAAGTGAACTGCCTGAAAAATTAACTAAAAGAATTGTACTGGATATATATATATGTTATACATACATTAAAATTTCCCATGTCCACACACAAAGTACTGGTAGTTAAAAAAGCAGAATGTATATCTACTATTTTTTAAATTATTTTTTATGTTTTTAAATCCTTGTTTTTTTATTAAAAAAAAAATACCCTGTACAAAAGAAAGCCACGTAATGGTGCTCAGACGTTGCTTTACTTATATAATTATTATTATTATTATCATTAATAACCTTAAATTTTAATCACTATAACTATTTGAAAATTTAAAATAACCTTTTATCACATACACCTGTAAATTGCCAATTGAAAAAATCAAATATAATAAAATTATGCACAACAACACAATGGTCCATCATGCTTGTTGGATTAAGAAAAACTATTAAGATCATCTCACATTTACTTTTAAAATCCACTATTTACTTTTTAAAAAAATAAAAAGTTACATCGTTTTTATCACCGAGTCTGTACTTTATGACACCTGAGCAGAAACCAAAAAGATAACTGCTTTGTTATACATGTAAACCTCAACTCCAAGTGCCTGTTCTGCACTGGGGGAGACAGAGAACAGCGCCACTGTGTCTGTTGTATCGACATGTGCTCTCCTTTCAACTGTGTGGCTTATAAACTGGCCTGAACTGGTTCAGCAGTGGTAGGCCAAACGTATAGTAGTGGGGAATACATATCAGTGTCATTTTTTACCACAGGATTTTGTTGTTCGGGAGAATCGATTCAGAGTCCAAGCGTGGATATTCTATTTTAGTTCAAAACAATAAAGTAAGTTGCAGTAAACTATGAATTTGCTTTTGAAAGTAAATTTAAAAATTAAATTTCGCGCTGGAGCAATTTGTGCAGTGGCAAAAAGCATTGGCAACTGGGCCAGGACTTAGTATTTTAGATGCTCTGCCATTTAATAGTACGGACATTGTGACTGACATGCTGATGTTTCACGTCAGACATTTACAATTTATGACGGACATGTTCGGCCGTTCGACGGTTTTTCGAGAACACTGCCAATCACACTGCCACATCTAACACGCAAACCAATTAGACTGTCACATACAACTCATTGTCACACTAAGTATACTGTCACATCAAACACACTGGCACATGTAGCAAACTTTTGCGTCCACCTAACTTTCACTAATGTCCAAAGGAAATAAATCAAGGATACACATTTGTTTTATTTCCACCTTTGGTAGTTTTGATAGAAGCTTTTCAAAGACAAGCTGGTTTTTATGTTGAATGAGATTTAAAGTTCGTATTTTTCCAAAAATGGAAAGGTTTGAGGTAACAGATAATTCATGAATAACAGTCTAATTTGCATTTTACAGTTGACGAACAGTAAAGGAAAGGGGAGGAAGTGGTTACAATTATACTGGCCTCAAAAGAAAACACTAACAAAACAAGGAGAAATTGAGGTAAAGCAGTTTCATCAATTTTCACAATGGACCTTGAATTGAAAAATGAATACTTATCACCCAATGATAAGAGCTCCTGGTCTTTATATTAATAACTTCAATTGAAAGTAGAATTTTTTCTTTTGACAGAAATGAGGACAAACTGTAAGCATTTTGAATTGAACAACAAGCCAATTTACTAATAATATCATGGTTATGGTTTTCAAGTATGCTTCCAGTATGGGTTTTTTAATAGAATAGCACTATTATGACTATTACTTGTATCAACACATTTAATATTTAATTTATTATTTCAGCACTTAAATAATTAATTTAGAAGTGGAACACTCTTTGATTTTGTTTCTTCCAATATTTCCAGGTCTTTCATTGGTACAAGTCAAAACAAGAAAGATGCGTGTATCCAGCCTCTCTGACTGTTTCTGTGAATGGTGTCATTCCTAGAAACCATCTGAAGCCATCCTGTAGCAACTTACCTCTGTCGGTAGGTAGATATAAATTGTTATATTGGACTGCATTTCCTGACTAATGAAAATCTTAGCTCAACTTGGATATTGAACTATATTCATTGGACTAAGACCCCATTCCCACAGATTTTAGATCGATCTATCCCCTTGGGGAGTCTCACTAGATTACTGTCAGCTTAGCTGGCTTAAATGTCTGTCCCGCCTACTAAAAGCTGTAAGGGGGTAATTAACTTCCGTGCACGGTTGGCTAACAGCAATTTAGCATGAACCCCCAGGGAGTAAGGTCGATCTAGTTGGATCGATCTGAATCTCTGGGAATACGCTCTAAGTGGTGCAGTCAAATGGTTTAATTTTTTTAATGATGTTCCAGAAATTGATTTTATTACAGATTTTTAAGAATGCTCTTCAACTTGGTAGGATATCACAAGTAATCTAAAAATTCCCGCTTAAGTGAGGTGTAAAATTTTTCCTGTATTAACCATAGGTTTTAGGGTGCAATTACCCCCCTTCTTATGACTGAGCACTTTAGATTACCATCTATTTTTGAAAAAGAGTTTCAATTTTATTACTAAATTTTTGTCTTCATTTTCCAGAGAGAAAATATTCCAGGGGTAAAGAGAAGAAAAAAGAAGGAAAAAACTCAAACCCCCATTTTATGTCAAGAAGCTTATAGCTTACTAAAACAATCCCCTTCCAAGAGTGTATATATTTTGAATGTGGCTGGGTCTGGTGGGATTGTACCCCTGGGAACTAAAGGTGCCCCCAACCCCATGCCAGTGGCCCTGGCAAAGACTTCATACCCAGAATATCAGGCTGGAAGAGGAGCAGTTGAACTTCCAAAAAATGTGACAGCATCAAGTCCACCACCACCAGTGGTCCCTGTGGCAGCTTCACCACCAGTGGTTCCCATGGGAACTCCACCACCTGTGGTTCCCATGGCAACTTCTCCCCCTGCAATCCAGATCTATGATGATGGAGGGGTATCTCAGGGTGTAAAAAATGCACCCCCCTGTCAGCTTGTAGTTCCCAGCAATACTTCATATGTAAATAACAAGGTCATGGATTACAAGGTTGCAACCCAAAGGTTACACCACTCAGCAGACAATCCAGACAGCCTATTGCAGCAGCCATTGAGAACAGAAACAAGTGCCACTGCAGCAGACCAAAGTGGGCAAACCAATATGATATTAAAGGAAGAAAATTCTCATGGAGACATTCCGAAGAATTGGAGTCCAATATCAGACAATGCTGTACCTCTTACAAATCAAATCAGAAAAACAGTGGTTTCCAATACACCTATTTTTTGTGAGAAAATGTCAAGTGATTTAGGGCCTGTAGGTACTCTTCTTTACAGCATTGGAATGGATTTAGTGAAAGAGAGAGCTTGTAAAGGACTGATACGTTTGCAGACCAAAAAATTGAAGGAAAAGAAACTGGATGAAAAAGAAAAAGAGCAGCTTGAGCATTTAAGGAAATTTTATTCTGATACAAGACAAAAGAACCGTCAGCTACATCTAAAGAAACAGAAGTGCCGGAAATGTAAATTCAAAACAGAATCCCTGAATGTAATGGAAAATCATTTGGAATATCCGCACATGCAAGGGACATACATGAATTGTTCCTTCTGTAATTATGGCACCAGCCAAAGCCTAACGTCAGCATTTACCCAGCACGTGAAAAAGAAACACAAAAAGCAACCACGTGCCGTGCCAAAATCAGCACCTCATCAGTGCCCATTGTGCTCTTATGATAATATCCATGCACTCCGTGTTTCGCAGCATTTGGCATTATGTCGAANTATTGACTTTTATATTTTAGGCCATTCTGCTGCTAAGGACATGATGACACATTTTAGCAAGGGAGTTTTAGAAAGTGGACTTGACATTAGGAAAATGATCCAAGTAAGCATGGATGGACCAAATGTTAACTGGAAATTCATTGACATTCTTAAAAGGACATTGTCCAATGATTACGATTCTTCAATAATAAACATTGGCTCCTGTGGCCTACATATAGTTCACAATAGTTTCAAGGCTGGTGGTGTCGCGTCGAAATGGAAAATTGATGATGTTTTCAAAAGTTTGTACTATTTGTTTCATGATTCTCCTGCAAGGAGGGATGACTACTCAAAAGTTACTGGGAGCAGTGTTTTTCCATTGAAATTTTGCAGCCACAGGTGGCTTGAGAATGTGCCCGTTTGTGACAGGGCATTTTCAGTGTGGCAAGACGTGGAAAAATATGTAAAGGCAGCTGAGAGCGGAAAGGTGACCAAACCTGTAAACACATCATTTAGTGTTGTGAAGGAAGCTGTTAATGACAAGTTCATCAAGGCCAAAATGCAGTTTTTCAAATGTGTATCAGCCCACCTTCAGCCTTTTCTGGCTTCTTACCAGACGGATAAACCTATGGTCCCTTTCTTGTCTGCTGACTTAGCAGGTTTAGTGAAGGCTCTGATGAGAAGGTTCATCAAAAAAGAAGTACTTACAGCATGCAGAAATGTGGATCAGCTTTCAAAGATAGATGTCAGTGATGATCAAAATCACCTCAGCTACAGCAAAGTAGACCTTGGTGTTTTAACAGAGAAAGCACTAAAAGAAGCACAACATGTAGCTGCACCCTTAAAGCCAAGTGACAGAAATGTGATGGACTTTAGAATGCAGTGCAAGGACTTCTTGGTTAAAACCACTCAGCACATGCTGACCAAATGTCCAATTTCCTATTCTCTAGTGAGGAATCTTTCTGCCCTGAACCCCAAAGAAATGGTCCCCCATCCAGATGAATGTAGGGTCAAGATGAAGAAAGTTGTTACTTTGTTGATAAATGCAAACAGGCTAGATGAAAATGACTGTGATGTTGTGTTAAATCAGTATGATTCATTTCTAGACAATATTTCAGTATTTGGTTAAGATAAATTTGCAAATTTCAATCAAAACACTGATAGACTTGACGAGTTTTTGAGTACATACATGAAGGTTGATCAGTACTGTAAGTTATTTGAAGTATGTAGGATGCTGCTTGTCTTGTCCCATGGCCAAGCCAATGTTGAGAGGGGTTTTTCTATTAACAAAAAAGTAGAGGTGGAAAACTTGAAGGAGGAAAGCATTGTTGCCCAGAGGATTATCTGTGACTATGTGAAATCTAAGGGCGGTGTATTGGAAGTGCCAATTACAAATGCTCTGCTTGTCTCTGCAGCTTCTTCAAGACGGAAATATGAACAATATCTAGAAAGCGAGCGTGAAAAAAAGAGAACTGATGCTGAAAAGAGGAAAATGAAAGACAGATGTGAAGAAATAGAAGAACTAAAGCACAAAAAACAAAGAATACAATCAGACATTGATCTCTTAGCTGAAAAAGCTGACAAGTTAGCTGAAAAAGCAGAAACAACTGGTCAGATAAGTTTTGTTACGCAATCAAACTCTTTCCGAAGGACTATTAAAGAGAAAATGAAAGAGTTGGAACTGTTAAAAAATGAACTAGCTGATAAAGTTGAAAAACTCAAAAGTTAAACTTGGTGATGGTAATATTGAAAGATGTGAGGGCACATGAATAGTTGCAATAAAAAAGTTTGAAAACCTTGATTAAATTGTTGCTGTTTTTATTATCAACTAATTGTGAATACATGTAATTATTATGATAAAATGAAATTAAATCGATTTTGGTCCGATTAGTGTCAGAGGTTATGGGCATTGGAAGAAACTGCTGCGTATGAATTAAGTAATTAAAAAGGGTATTAGAAAGAAAGGGGAGAACACTAATAGATGGTGATAATTTTCGTTAACATTCAAAAGTCCTTGAAAAGTACTTGAATTATAGCTTCAAAAGTCATTGAAAGTCCTTGAATTTGCTTTTCGCTTTGCTGTATGAACCCTGACAAGCCAATTTACTATTAATATCATGGTTATGGTTTTCAAGTATGCTTCCAGTATGGGTTTTTTAATAGATTAGTACTATTATGACTATTACTTCTATCAACACATTTAATATTTAATTTATTATTTCAGCACTTAAATAATTAATTCACAAGTGGAACGCTCTTTGATTTTGTTTCTTCCAATATTTCCAGGTCTTTCACTGGTACAAGTCAAAACAAGAAAGATGCGTGTATCCAGCCTCTCTGACTGTTTCTGTGAATGGTGTCATTCCTAGAAACAATCTGAAGCCATCCTGTAGCAACTTACCTCTGTCGGTAGGTAGATATAAATTGTTATATTGGTCTGCATTTCCTGACTAATGAAAATCTTAGCTCAACTTGGATATTGAACTATATTCATTGGACTAAGACCCCATTCCCACAGATTTTAGATCGATCTATCCCCTTTGGGAGTCTCACTAGATTACTGTCAGCTTAGCTGGCTTAAATGTCTGTCCCGCCTACTAAAAGCTGTAAGGGGGTAATTAACTTCCGTGCACGGTTGGCTAACAGCAATTTAGCGTGAACCCCGAGGGAGTAAGGTCGATCTAGTTGGATCGATCTGAATCTCTGGGAATGCGCTCTAAGTGGTGTAGTCAAAGGGTTTAATTTTTTTAATGATGTTCCAGAAATTGATTTTATTACAGATTTTTAAGAATGCTCTTCAACTTGGTAGGATTTCACAAGGAATCTAAAAATTCCCGCTTAAGTGAGGTGTAAAATTTTTCCTGTATTAACCATAGGTTTTAGGGTGCAATTACCCCCTTCTTATGACTGAGCACTTTAGATTACCATCTATTTTTGAAAAAGAGTTTCAATTTTATTACTAAATTTTTGTCTTCATTTTCCAGAGAGAAAATATTCCAGGGGTAAAGAGAAGAAAAAAGAAGGAAAAAACTCAAACCCCCATTTTATGTCAAGAAGCTTATAGCTTACTAAAACAATCCCCTTCCAAGAGTGTATATATTTTGAATGTGGCTGGGTCTGGTGGGATTGTACCCCTGGGAACCAAAGGTGCCCCCAACCCCATGCCAGTGGCCCTGGCAAAGACTTCATACCCAGAATATCAGGCTGGAAGAGGAGCAGTTGAACTTCCAAAAAATGTGACAGCATCGAGTCCACCACCACCAGTGGTCCCCATGGCAGCTTCACCACCAGTGGTTCCCATGGCAACTCCACCACCTGTGGTTCCCGTGGCAACTTCTACCACTGCAATCCAGACTTATGATGGTGGAGGGGTATCTCAGGGGGTAAAAAATGCACCCCCCTGTCAGCTTGTAGTTCCCAGCAATACTTCATATGTAAATAACAATATCATGGATTACAAGGTTGCACCCCAAAGGTTACACCACTCAGCAGACAATCCAGACAGCCTTTTGCAGCAGCCATTGAGAACAGAAACAAGTCCCACTGCAGCAGACCAAAGTGGGCAAACCAATATGATATTAAAGGAAGAAAATTCTCATGGAGCCATTCCGAAGAATTGGAGTCCAATATCAGACAATGCTGTACCTCTTGCAAATCAAATCAAAAAAACAGTGGTTTCCAATACACCTATTTTTTGTGAGAAAATGTCAAGTGATTTAGGGCCTGTAGGTACTCTTCTTTACAGTATTGGAATGGATTTAGTGAAAGAGAGAGCTTGTAAAGGGCTGATACGTTTGCAGACCAAAAAATTGGAGGAAAAGAAACTGGATGAAAAAGAAAAAGAGCAGCTTGAGCAGTTGAGGCAATTTTATTCTGATACAAGACAAAAGAACCGTCAGCTACATCTAAAGAAACAGAAGTGCCGGAAATGTAAATTCAAAACAGAATCCCTGAATGTAATGGAAAATCATTTGGAATATCCGCACATGCAAGGGACATACATGAATTGTTCCTTCTGTAATTATGGCACCAGCCAAAGCTTAACTTCAGCATTTACCCAGCACGTGAAAAAGAAACACAAAAAGCAACCACGTGCCATGCCAAAATCAGCACCTCATCAGTGCCCATTGTGCTCTTATGATAATATCCATTCACTCCGTGTTTCGCAGCATTTGGCATTATGTCGAAAAACTTTTAATTTTGCCAAAAACTTAGCCCCAGAACCAAATTTTTTGCACCACTCCCTTAGTCTTGATTTCATAAAGAAGCCAAAAGCAAACCAACCCAGTAGTGTCCCTCATCGCGATCCCAATCAGATGTCAATTCAACCAAGAATTTTGAACAAATCATGTTTGAAAAAATCAAAGACAGTGAAGGAGCAACTATCTGGTGTAGCTGTTTCAAATAAATGCCAGTCGTCAAATGTTGCATTCAAGTCCTTAGGTTCTCAACCCAATAAGACTAATGTTTTTTTAAACAGTAAAGTTCCCTTCACGCGGGACAACAATGGCTGTTTTACAGTTTTACAGTTCAAACAAGCAACTCCAACTGTACAACAGACGAATGTCAATACAGCCAAGCTGTTAAATTACCAAATTGGGCCTGCGGTTGGCATGATCAAGCCAGTGGCTCCATCTATCCAGCAAATTTCAACCAGACAACCTATTAGCCAATCTGGTGTACCATTGACATCAGGGACATCAGGTTCAATTGGCGTGCCTGTGGGCATCATCAGGGCAATCATCAACCCGGCTGCTGGGGTGCAGCCGATAGGGTCAGGTTTGCAGGTATTTAAGATAAATGATCAGCTCTTTACCTCAGCTGGCAAATCCCTAATCCCAGTGAAAACAGCAGCACCAGTGGGGATTATTAAGTTGAGTGACCCACAGACAGCAACTACAGCTAGTGGTGCTTTGTCCATAGTTCAAGGAGCCCAAGTGCATGGAAACCCAAATACCCAAAATCAAAATCTGTCAGGGGTGGCATCAACAACTATTCAGTCAAAGCTACCACCAGTCAATATCCAGTCAGTGGTTCCATCAAAAAGTATCCAGCTGAAGCTACCACCAACCAATATCCAGTCAGTGGTTTCACCAACCAATATCCAACTGATGGAAGAACCTACCAGTATCCAGTCAGTGGTTCCAACCAGTATCCAGCTGAAGGTACCACCTACAAATATCCAGTCATTGGGGTCACCAGCCAGTATCCAACTGAAGGTACCACCTACTGATTTCCAGTCAGTGGTTCCACCAACCAGTATCCAACTTAATGTACCACCTACCAATATCCAGTCAGTGGTTCCAACAACTAGTTTCCAGCCAAAGGTAGAACCTACCAATATCCAGTCAGTGGTTCCAACAACTAGTTTCCAGCCAAAGGTAGAACCTACCAGTATCCAGACAGTGGTTCCACCAACCAGTACCAAGTCAGTGGTTTCACCAACCAGTATCCAGCTAAGGGGAGAACCTTCCAGTACCCAGTCAGTGGTTCTACCAACCAGTACCCAGTCAGTGGTTCCACCAAATAGTTTCCAACTGAAAGAAGTACCAACCAGTATACAACCAAAAATGCCACCAAAGTTTATTTATGTACAGCCAGAAGTTATAGCAACCAATGCTGCAAGTCTCAAGCGTCCTTCTCCTGTTGAAAATTCTCAAGATGCCGGAGCCAAAAAATGTGCTCGATTGGACCAAGAGTATATTGTGTGTGAACTATGTGATGGATATGTCAAAAATAATGATGCATTGAGACTTCATTTTCGTAATGTCCACCAAATTGAAATATTTCCTAAGAAAATTATTACATGCGCCATATGCAATTACTCATTCTGGACCTCAAGTGGTTGGAGGAAACACATCACAAATGCCCATGCCCAGAATGGGTGCTACCTGTGCAGAGAGTCCTGGTCTGGTGATCTGGTCTCACATCTGTTCTCTGCCCATGGAGTCGATTACCAGGATGTCCTGAAATTGAACAAGTGCATCGGCTGTGGACAGGCGTTCTACTCTGAGAAACAGTTAAAGGCACATATGACCGTGTAAGGAAAAAAAAATTATCTGGATACTTTTTGTTATGTACATATATTTATTTGGATCACCATGTCTTTCTGTGACATTGCCATTACTGCCATCTTTAGAAATGCTGTTAAATTTGTCTCAACCTTTGGTGGCCTGTATTTATCATTCAATCAGTGACAGTCTTTTGGCAGAGGATTTGCTGAACCTTTTATCTACTAAAGGGTTCATCATCTACATATATTCCACCTTTTTACTGTTGTCATTTTTGCTTAATTCTTCTAGCAATTTTTCTTAGATTGTTTGTATTTGAATACATTTTCCATATTAACATTTTTATTTTGAAGGTACCATGGGCTGGACTTGTGGGAAATGAATTTGAATGCCAAGAAAATGAAACGAAATCGTTCTACCATTCGCTCTCCAGCAGAACATCTTGCACAGCAAGGGTGCAAACAATGTGGAATAGAAGCTTTCCCTGACATCCAGCACTATTGCCAACACTTTAAAGTTACACACGGAGGCTTTACATGTAACCATTGTGTCATTAAGCTATCCTCAGTGCATGCCCTGGGAATGCACCTTTTCAAGAGCCACCAAGTGAAATTGTTCATGTGTGACAGGTGTTGGTTCAGGACCTCCTATGAACATACCTTGCAGCAGCATTCCATGAGTTGTCAGAAAAAGACTGTGCAGACTCCAGTACCTATTGGTGGCATTGGTCGCTCCTCTCATCTCCGGCTGCTTCCGCTGCACCACAGGAAGTGTGAAGTACGGGTCAAGAGACTAACGCGTGATGAGATTGCTAAATACACCAGCAGGTTGTGATTTTCTTTGTTTCACCTGTTTAGTTATCAACTGAAATTGTATGCAATGGCTTTTATGTGAAATATTTTTTTCTAGGGTTGTAAAAATAATAGACCTTTTTCAGATGGTTTATATATATGTTATGCTGGCTTGGTATAAGGAGTGGGTTAATTTTTTTTTATATTCTGCTACTGTTTCTTGTCCAAATTTTCTAACAGAAACTTGTTAAATTTCTGAATTAACAGCTTTAAAATATTCTTTGAGTTAACAAAAGGATTCATCTCAAGTTGAATATTGTTGAAAGTCTTTCACATCCTTTTGCTGTATCAGTTGAATCATATTAAAAAATTCTGGCAATATTAAGTTATGTTTAAATAATTGTTATTGTTGTTTGGCATCACCAGAGTTGAAAGACTTTGAGATATACGTGTAATTTTTTAAAAATTTCTTTTGCTCTTGTTCATGATGAAAATAGATTTAGGGACCATTCCCAGACCCTATTGTACTAACTGTAGATTGATCTATCTATGAGGGGATTCTTGCTAAATTGCAATCAACTTAGAAGTGTGTCATTCCTACTGAAGCTGTAGGATTAATTATCGTTTAGCAGCTTCAGTAGGCATGCCAAACATCTACGCCACTTAAACTGAAAGCAATTGGAGTTGGATTGATTCTGTTAGATCTTTCTAGGTATGGGAACCCAGTCTTAGATACACCTGTATTTATCCCATACACCGCCATGAGATAACTAACACAGACATTACTATTGATGATTTTTAAAATGTTATTTAAATGAGACTTAGTCTGAGTAGATGTAAAATATTACAAGTCGCGAAAAAATGACAGGTTATCATTATTTTATCTATCCTTCTATTGGTTACAAAATATGGAATTGTCCTGAACATGCCAAATGTAGTATTAATTTAAGAAGTAGTACAGTGTGTACTGGGGCTTAGTGCAATGGGGAAACACGGGTAGATTGAGGATACCCAAAAAAGAAGTATCTGCCGTGTCCCAGGAGAGTGAAAACCACAGTTCTGAGGTTCCTTTCGCACCTAGCAGCACGTTTTTCTGTTTCAGTCGGCTAGTCCAAACATGGAATTACGCCAAGGCGGGGGGGGGGGGGGGGGGGGGGTGGGGCACTCCCTTAAACAAGCTCCAATGTACCAGTCGAAATTTTATTAATACATTAAAATATTGCTGTGACGAGCATGGGAGCTCCATGTGGGTGACTCTTGTATGTAATAAGCAGGAGAAAGAATTTCAAACTAGTATCAAACAGAGTACCGTGCGGCTGAATATGAAAGGGACCTAAGTGTGGATTTTTGGATGGTGCTCATACACGTAGTTTGTAGATTTTTCTGTTAAGTCAGGAAAAACACAGTGTCGAAGATCACTTCGAATTAATCTGTGTTATTAGTATAGTCTTGGCGTTTCCAGTGATCTCTGAAATACAGGTTATAAAGGAAGATGGGAATTAGCGTGTTGTTTCTTTATTGAATCTGTACTTATGTAAGTAGTCCTTCAGAACTCAACCAGGTTTGGGGGGGGGGGGGAATTTCAAACACTGTACCAGCGTCTTTTTCTTTGATGGTCTCTCGTTTAGTTTTCAAGTTCTAGCACAAATCATAACTTATAACAAACCTAGTATAACACCAAAGATCAATGTACATGTATGTTACATGAACGCGCATTGTAATCATATTATATCAGATTAATGCCGCTAGCTAGGTTAGATTCTAGGACAATTCCCACCGGGAAATCCCCCCCCCCCCAAGAAATATATATAAATATACAAATATAAAGTATATTAATATATTTAGTGATATAATACAACTACATCATAAAACATAGTACAAGTACAGAAAGTATTATTAAAAGTCTAATCAAAGTATAACCAGCTATCCTCCAGGTAAAGGTGGGGAAAACAGATAAACAGATATTTTTTGCTTGCATGTCTTAAGATACAAAACCCAAACGTATTCAGACTTAAAATCTGTAAAACTCCTCGGATGAAAGTACCTGACGTCGACAGTTACTTCTGAAGTGCACAGTAAACATGGCATTCTAAATGACTGGCTAATCATTCAATAAAAAATCAGTAAAACATCGAATCTAAGTGCAGGAACGGCTTGAGCAACGATTTGCTAGTAGGAAAAATGTGTTGTTTTTTTTTTCGAGGAAATTTCATTTTGGCGGATATATCCTGCATAGTGTACACGATTTCCCTTGCATTTTCCATCTTTTTTTAATTAATGATTAGTCTTGATCATATTGAGCAAGGAATATTTCGATATTAAAGATGGAATTTTCAGTAATGATCTCCAAATCACAAAGGTATACCCTATCCAATACCATTCAGAAAATAACTCTGTATAAACCCAATTTGGAGCTGTTAATGAGAAATTCACCAGTCTCCGTTACCATTACAGGAGAAACTAAAAACAAAAGGGAAACTTTGGTCTTGTAAAAGCTTGGTTTCGAAATCGGGTTCGGTTCAAGTAGAACTTCGCTAACACAATCATGGGCCTACGACCAACCTTATCTGTTACAGTATTGTTATTCAAATTATGCCAACTGCAAGTGACAAGTATTCATTTCGGGAGCCATGATGTTAGGCAAAGATTTCAGGACGAAATGACGATTCTCGTGGGTAGAATATGGTGCCTGGTATGTTCAAAGCTACCTGTTCTACCCGGCCACAACAACAACGTGTAAGTTCATGTAGAAGTCTACAGTTTGCATGTCGATTGACCAGATTGTCTCGTTACTGGCAGAAGTACGTGAGCACAAAACTTTGAAATAAGATGGAGGTTTTCAAAATTGTATGATATGCCAGGGCTTCTTTCTACAGTACATGTATCCCCAAGCTTTGGCAGGTACGTAATCTGTTTTAGCGGAGTGAAAGCGGGAATGCGCAGTAGTCTTGTATTTCATAAATATTGTGACGATATCTAGTCTTGAAATATTAAAATTTTATTATATAGACTCTTATATAGAAATTGCGTAAACAGCAGAAATACAGGTATTCACTGTATATGAAAGAGAACAATTACTGCATTGAATTTAAACCGTGGAATAAATAATTTCTTGTGTGTCTAAATTTCTCATTTTAAATGTTATTTCAGTCGCCAGTGCATTCAAGAGACGAAGATATGTCCCCATGAAGGAATTACAACAGTTGAAATGCAACTTTTGATTTCAATAATCCCGAGTATGGACATTTGAAAAAAGCCTGTTATCCCACAGTTGAAATTGATACGATTCCTAACATTTTAGTGTTATTAAGGGTTTAATTGCAAAATGTGTACATGCATATTGAATATGTACATGTATGAATTATAGTGATTTCAGCCTCAGATTTCAGACTTGAATGGTACTAGGGTAAGTAGGCATTACCTAGCATGTAAGTCCAAAAAACCGAGGCGAATGACTACACGGACCCTACATTTGTAACATATTGTCCCACCAAAACGTAGAAAGCATTTTACCAGTTTTGTTTAAATTTGGGTCTTCGGCGACTCCTAACGTGAGATAACATGCTAGATTTCAAAACGGGTTTGGTTATTTGAAAATCTGTATGCTAGAACACTGTTTCGCTTTCCTTTCCATCGACACTTTTTGAAATAATAGGTCTGTCTTACTGCCAGTTGTCTTTTCCAATTTAAAATAAGTATGGCATAATATTAGAAAATGGTTTCTAAAAGCGAGACTGTACACAAACTGTGCACGACAGGGAGCAAATGGGTGTAAAATTTTGTAGTCAACCCTTGCTTTTATACGATTACGAAAGGAACTGGTATTAATTATTTTTCTTCTTTTTGACTGAAAATCCTTACTGAAAGTTACTATTTTGCCAGCGTCTTTTTGTACCCATATATAAAACTGAGCGAGTCTGTTGTACTTTTTTCAATGTGATTTTCTATGTTCATTATGTCAGTGTAGTTTGTGCTCTTTAAAGTTTATGGCAACAGTGTCCCATTTTAGCTTCTGAATCAACATATGTTACCTATATTTGACATATTCAACGTTTATACATGTATTTCACAATCCTTTAAAACTTCGAACTATGGGTTGCGATTTCTATTATTATCATTATCATTATTATTATTATTATTATTATTATTAAATCTGCGACTTCTGGCTGTCCTTTTACAGAATCAGGATAACATGATAACCAGTGTCCTTTCCACGATATCGATTTATATATATATATATATATATAATGATTTGTAGTTTGGATGAGGGCGCACATTAATTTCAATTGTATTACACAGGGAATTGTAATTCTAATGATTACTTCGAATAAACTCAGATGTTTGACTTGTCGTACTTTGTAGTAACACATTCAATGTCATTTCCTTGATATTGCGTATTTTAAGCCGTGCGTTAGTATCACTGGAGTTAAACGAATAAAGACTGTTCATAACTTTCAACTTCTTTATTGTTTAATTATTCAGATTTCATATTTTCCTCTCTAGTGTTTGTCTTAGTAATATTTGAATAACAATAAAATGTTTCATCCGATTTTGTCCAATTCGATCTCTTATTCTTATTTCTATAACTTTAGAAGCGGTGGTGGTGCCAACTGAGCCATTGGCCCCAAAGAATTTCGCGCAATTTAAACGAAACCTTTATAGTCAATGAAGTCCAATTCTTTTTTTCCACAAAATGAATGTTCCAAGGGGACTCGAACTCCTCACCTTCTGGTCTGTAGTCTGCAACGTTACCAGTTCCTCTATTCCCCCAACCACCCACCCTAAACTTTGCATCTTCCCTTTATAGTTATGGGACTAATACTCATTTTTTTAACAAAGATTTGTCGTCTTTAGGAATCGATCCTGTAACCTTATGGTCCGCAGTCGGGAACGTTACCAGTTTCTCTATTCACCCAACCACCCACCCTAAACTTTGTATCTCTCTTTTATAGTTTGAGGCGATCATTTGTTTTTTTCTTCCACGAAAATTTACCGTCTTTGGGAATCGATCCTTTAAAGGGATAATAACTCTTCGTATGAGATCTATATTTCACAATAAAAACATTGTGAACAACTCATAGAAATATAATATATTCTGTTGTACCACGAAACGGCAGTTATAGCTATTATTCTGATATCTGAGCTTGTCTACTCTTTAGACCACGAGACCTCCATTGATGGCTATACTGGTACTCTGTTATAATCTCTTAAGATATTATAACAAAAAACTTTTAAGAATAAAAAAAACAGACTAGCTTTGAATGTAAAAATGGATTCATTAACCATTGGTAAGTATGGGAAAATTGTTGTTTACTGCAGGAAAATTCGTTTTTTGGCCAAAACGAAGAGTTATTATCCCTTTAGCCTTCAGGTTCCCAGTCTGACATGCAGGCGATTCCTCCATTCACCCGGTAACCCACCCAAATTTTTGCCCTACGTTTTTTAGTTTTTCTTGGCGCAGATTTGACTTTTTTGGACAAAATTTATCAAAAATTCATTAGGCAACAATCGATTTTTTTGTTCTGTTCGATTCCAATGTATATTGCACTTAGAATGTATGGTTATAAACCTAACTTTTGGGCAAAATTCATTAAAAAAATAATGAAGCGGGATTAAAAGATTAATTTTGTTTTATCAGATTCTAATCAATACCGACATTCACTGAAATTAACAATGCAACATAGTTAAACAGTTTCAAGAAAATATTTTAAAGGCACCAATATGGCTACGAATTGCTTTTTCTATTTTAAAAAGCGTTTATGAGGTTACAACTATTCAAACCAAAAGATTCGGTAAATTTTATGAAACTGCTGAATGATAGACGCAACGCGATTTCTTATTCAAAATTTGGAGGCATTTTTGGGTAAAATAAATAAAGCAATTCCACATTACGACGACAAGAAGACCGCGTGTATACAGATGATGAATTAGTTAATTTTTTAAAATTTATTCACATTACAATTATATAAATCAATGCAGATAACAATAATGTTTTTCTCAACATGAATGTATTTACTGCTATGTACTATATGATATGAATTAATCTTATGAAGCCATGTGAAGTTATAGACTGGGACAAAAAATTGAGGTTGGTTTCATGGTGTAATGACTCGGTTGAATGATTTATATTAAATGACAATAATAGCACGGTTTCACTTACATGTAAATCAATCACAATTCTTTTTATCACTAGTTTCTTGGTGACGCATATCCTATCTTAAATACGCCTGTCTTCCATTCACTGTACAACATCAACATTATGCTACCAGTACTACCGCGTTCGTTGTAAGCCCCTCCACTTCAACCTCAACCTTCAACATTCCACAAAGTGTCATTTTCCGTACAAAAAGCAAAAGACAAAGATGAACTGTTCCCAACCTGGTGGAAATGACCATCTTTTTCGACATTGGCCACGTGGTTGTTTGCTTCCTGTTGCACCCGTTTTATTCCCCAGATCAAATGACATCAGCACGAAATGTCTTAGACGCAAACATCTTCCACACATGTAAAACAAGTGTCTTATATCCTCAGTATCACTGCCGTCTTCACCGTCCCATGCTGCCCAAGGAATCTCTGTCTGTACTTTTCAACTTACAGTATGAATGTTCATGATTATTCTGACATCTCTGATAACTTGTCCTCCAATCTGGACGTTACGTAACATTCCATTCAGCCTACCACACAGAGAGTCAGCAGGTCGGTGATCCGACTAAAAATCTCTGTGTCATTTTCCAGTTGACAGGTATTCTAGGGAGACCTTCGTAAACTGCCACTGTTCAGATTTACGTCACATTCACAGCTGTCGCTGTTTTTCTAAGGTTTTGACTTTTATTTGTAAAGAAAATTGACAGTTTAAATGGAAACCTTTAGGCTTGATGCATAATTAAAAGTGTGTATGAACAACTAATAGTGGTTCTGCATGTACGGAGGAAAGTTGTAGTGGAAAATTCTACATAATAAAATAAATGCTGTGCTCCAAAATAGAATTACTTTACAAATGGCAAAACTTATACAATATTTATTACAATATTATTAATGCTTTAAAAATTGGAGATGGCTTGCCAAAGTCGAAAATGATGATGACGTATTTCATAAACGTGAAAACATTTTTTTCAAATCTACGTTAACTATTTTGTCTTTTAAAACATTTGAACTTCTATCTTGACAAAAAATAATAAACATTATCATTTATTGTCACATGCTAACAATTCCAGAAAATAGATAGATTGCGAGATATAACTTTAACAGCAAGTAAAATTTATTAGATCAATGTTTGTGAAGTTAACCGAGCACACGAAAAGAAGACGTAAAGAATGTCAGTCATATACTGACGTCATACTCTTCATTACAGAACCAATATGAAAGATGACTAAAAAGAACCTTCAAGGCGGTTGTTATTTTAACAAAATATTCTAACTTCAATTCCAGATAAAGACAGTATTGATAAAAAAGTACTCGGCACTTCACAGGATTTGATAAGTGTACACAATGCCTGCAAATCCCCCTTGGTATTCTGGTACTCTCTTTCTCTCCAACTTCCTCCACAGTTTATCGTCTTCGTGAATCTGCAGCCAGTCATCAAAACTCTTTCCTTCATGTCCGACATGTGGGAGGTGGACCTCCCGCGTCGCTATGATCACGTGCCCGCCTATCATAAAAAGCGGATTTTAAACTAAATAAACTGTTACCGTCAAAACCAATTTAAAAAATGAGCAGAACATTCCAGAAATGACATAATCTGATTCAAGGCCACTAAGTACTGAAGATGTCAACACGGTGTGTTGGTCGCTAACCAGCTCGAGTTGCAATAAACCTTAACACGGCCAAAAATTGTACGTTTAAAACGACAAAAGATCTTATAAGGTATTATGTGTAATGTGGGAAAGTGCTTAGCCAGTACAAGAGACTACATGCGTATAAATACACCTCCCCTACCTGGTTTGGTTATGCGTATTAGTTCTGGCAAACAGGCCGCAGTGGCATGACCAGGTATTATGGTTCCAACACACACTGTACACGTGTAATGTGCTGAAAATTAAACCAGCAAGACCTTAATTACTTATATTCAAGTTGCTTTCCTCTCTCTCTCTCTCTCTCTCGTTTTTCCGCCCTTCTCAGTGGACAGAGCTGGTGCCAATCGCAGGTCGCTGGTTGATGGAATTACCATTGGAATTAGCAACAAAGTAAACACATTTTATCAAGAAGGTTCCCCTTTCGGTTTCAGAGTTTGCCGGCCATTTTTGCTGTAAACAATAACTAATTTTTGTCCTTAACAAAGGTGACGGAAAATATACGCTGTCAATAGGTTTAATCTGAAACCTGAGTAATCATCAATTTCGTAATAATGGCCATCATACACACAAAACATCCAAGCGGCAAACTGCCTTCTCTATGTGTAATTCTGTGTCTGAAGTTAAAAGGCTGGTAAAGATTAAACAAATAGGGAATTATTCCAGATATTTTACAAAAATAAAAACCACACAAAATGCATGCAATTATCCACTTTAACAACTCTAGATCTGCATGCCCTAGCGATTTTGATGCAAGTTGTAAGACAAAATCTACTCACCATATGAGTAAAAAATACGGAAAATTTAGGATAATGCAGCTCATTGTCGAGAGGTAGCGTCCCAAAAACGTAACGGAGTTTGTAAAAAATTTCCAACCAATGTCGCTGGCGTAAAAAAGTAATAAAGCTAATACGAGAGAGCCGCCTTAAGTTCACTACCTGTGGGTATGTCCAACTTGTCCGGTCCCAGATAAGCACAAATGTACTTCTTATAAATCCCTTTCTCCTTGGCAACATCTAACATATCTTGGCAGCCATCAAGAGCGTCGATGTTAGTAAAACCGGCAGATTGGAGCTGAAAAATAAAAATGTAATATAAAATATTTATACATAATAGAGAGTATGAGTATTTCAAACCGGCCGTAAATTCATGATGGCAAAATGTTAGGAATTATTCTCTATCGTGGTGTCGTGCACAAACAAAACTGATTGAAAGTCGGGTAATTACAGATTTTACTTTTATGTAAAAAAAAATAAATTCAATATACACCCCCCCCTCCCCAAGAAAGGAATAGAGAAAGAGAGAGAGAAAGATGTTTTTTGCAATAAAGCTTTATTACACCTATTATTTCTTTTAATAAAATTTAAAAAAGCATATATGATATATTGTGCTATGAATACTGATACCTCTTTCCCCACACGCCCTGTGCCAGCGCCGGCGTCCAATATTAATGCTTTTCTGTCGTCACCCAAGACGTCTTTGACAACCTGGGCCGCGAAGATAGGTGCCTTGGACTGAACTTTCTGCAAAGATTTATTTCGTGACTACAATATAGCCTTGTCATGGTACTGTCCCTGTATTTCTTGGAAGAAACAGCTGTCTTGAAACTATAAAGGGAATAACCCAGGCCTGTTCCAAAAACAATTAAACTCAAAACATTTTGGCAAAGACTGTGAAGAATTTTGGGTTGCGTTTCACAAAGATTTCCCAGGGCTTCATGATGACTTTGATATTCTCCAGGTACACTGTAAGCCCTGGATCAACTTGGCCAAGGTCTTTATGCATAAAGTTGACGATATTTACTTCGGAAGGTCTTATTACATAACTGCATATATATACTATATTGTAGGCCAATCGTTCGTAAACTTCATATAGATTTTTCTAAGTGGATTGAAATACGATATTTACAAACTGGATATGCAGACAAATTGATGAAGCTATGACCTGACCTCTTGCGTCGCACGTCACACGCATACGCAGTCAGCGTCGAAGCTACGCAAGTTGTAATAATTACGTTAAACATGCATTGGGTCACTTGCTGTATTGGATTAAGATGTAATCACACACGAAGTTTCTTTCAAAAAACCGAATATGCTTTTATGCGGTTTATATATATGCATATCTTTCTCGAAAGTGTTTCAAGGTACAAGTCAATTGTCTTTATTTTCTGACAAGATTAACTAGGCAAGACTCTCCAAGAAACGCCGTGCAGGCTCTGAAGATCAAAGCTAACTTTTCACGTGTTGTTGAAAACGTTATAACAGCCGAAGTTCCCTTTAAAAAACTTTTATTGTTTTGTACCAGCTTCTTTGGCGGAGGTTCGTTCCCTCAGAGTGCTTTTCTAGTATTAAAATGTCGAGTTATGTTGTAGAAAGACTTACTATCATGCTTTGGTCGTATGAATTGGCCCAGGATTTATACATATCCATAACTTGCTCAGCAGTTATGCCTGGAGTGGTGATTGAATCTACAAGCTGCCGGTCTTTCTTGGCATCAGCTGACGTCATTTTTTTTTTTAATTTAGGGGTGTCAAATCTGGAAGATACTGGGTGAAGAACAAGAATGAATTTATGAAAATACACAATTATTAAATGTTTTTCTAAACAAATTAGCTTGCCGCGGAGTGCCTGTGCATACAAAAGATAGTTTATCGTCAAATGACGCAACTTTTTTGCGGATCAAATGATTAATGTGTCAACTCTAACCTAACTTCCCTGCTGGAGGTACAATCATATACACGGTTGCTATTTGCCAAATACGGGGGTGGGAATCCAAACCAAAAATGCAGGAGTGTGTTTCGATATATTCCGAAGGTTCGCTACGCCAAAGGTCCGCTATGGACACATTCAATACAGTGGACTTATCTGTTGATAAAATATGGCGACCCACTTAAATGCTTGCCTTCTAATCATCTAATAGACACTGAATAGATTCTCCACGGAGATAACGCAACAAGTTTTCAAGTGGGTCGGCCATATTTGAGCCGCCATTGTGAATGCGTCCGGTGTTCTGAGTGTCCTCTATGGCCACAGTTCGCTGTTCAGAACTAATCGCACATGTTCACGTACAGATAGAGAGCAAAGATAACTAAGTGTAATAAACAAGTGCCTAGTGATAATGTTGTAAAGCGTTCTAGGAAAAATGCAACAGTCGGTATGTGCCAGGGTATAATTTTCATTGCACGTCAAGCATTATTACAGCAAAGCATAGGAGAGAGAATAACACATTATACAGCACTATAAAGTTTGATTCTTAATTGTTGTCTTAAGGAGTTATCTGAGCAGATCGCAAACGATTCAAATAAGAGTGAGCCTCCTAAATACGTTTCTTTGACACGGATGTCAGTGCTCGCCCTAATTACGCAACTGATTTTTTGGAATACCAAACCTTGGGAACATAGAGCTGACCCCAAAATACAGTGCGCTGTGTAGGTTGCAGCTTATTCCTCACATTCCATCTCTTTCCATATGTTCAGTCAAGATGCACACTCATGAACACCCAGTGTGTGCAAGAGGGAACTTCATGTTTTGACTTTCTTCACGTACATTTACTGAGCATTCCTGTTTATATAGAAATTGAAACTGAATTTTAACGGTTCTGAAAGCGACCCAAATTATATTCACTTACCCTGTTATCAGCTGTCCCGGCCCGCTAATACATATAGATCAAACTGACGTCAATAGATCACGTGACAACCGATAAAACACATTTCACTATGTGCGCATAGTTAAACCTGGTTGTCCTTGGGAATAAGTCTCCTGCCTTTCACTTATGGATACTGTCTGCTTGACACATTTACCCAAACCCAATATAGACGTGCAATTGAGGTCCAATTTGGTTCAGTTTTGTTGTAGGGCATGTAGGCCGTTGATTCGTGTTGTCTGTGTGGTTCAAAAATGGGGATTTTGATGACCAAGGTAGCTGCTCATTCCCTTGGTTCTGCAAGTTCTCTGCTATTAAAATTGCTCTGTGTGAAGCGGCAATCTCATCGTGCAACCTAAAGTTGTTCCTAAAGTGCCCCCTATCAAATGATAGTCACGTGGTCCCCAGATTATTCCTTTATTTGATCTATTTCAGGTTTACATCGATGACTACCATTGGAGTTTTGGCACCAGTGTGGTATCCACTCCAAATACTGACGCTGTCAAAGACCCTTGTCACTTTTGAAGCGGCGCACGCTTCGTCGTAGGCCTCTTCGAATTCAGGATGTCTGTAAACTCTGGTTTGACCAGTTGAGCGGTACAGGTGAAATCTGACCTCAATAAAGAAAGCCACGCGGTTTCATTGTTCTACCCAGAAATGGTCATGGTCCCCAATTCATTAGAGAAACAGACGACGCTGTTTTGCTGTTTACGATGGCTTCCTCAGAGGTCCTCTGGTTACTATCCTGCTGAAAATAGGGTGGTGTTCGTTAAGAGCCTTGAAATACGCATTTTGGTGGCAATTTGCCCCTAAAACTGAACGGACTGGGTGTTTTTTTGTTTAGTTACAGTAGCATATCCAGAAGGACAGTGAGTCCTGTACCGTGGTGGTAAGATTTTGATACATTGGGCGTGGCCTCCGTATAGGTACATCAGTCTGGGCATAACTCTATAAAACCGTGCGGACCATTCCGTGTGACACAATAATCTGTCTGGCAATGTCTGTCTTTTTAGCTACACTCTGGCACTTATTAACAAATTTGTATAACACTGCTTATGTCACGCACTGCAAAACCAACCGCTTGCATGCAAAATTTCAAATTCTTCGATGCAGTAGTTGCCGACATATGGATACTTTTTTTTTGACAGAACCAAAGGAGCACTACCCAATTAAATCAATGCATATTACACAATGGAGCAGTGCAACTGACATGGTAGTCAGTTAATTGGTAGCGACACACCTGACAACACACTTCTCCAGTCACATATCTTATATGAGATCTGAGTTTTTTTTTAAAGAACACATTGTTACCAATTAAATGTCAAGTCTGTGATTCATTGTCTAACCTCAAAAAGGAACATACGTTACTGTCACAAATGCAAAACGTCCAGCTGTGAAACGCTTCACTCACTTTGAAAATTCAATCATCACCTACTGTTCTTTGATTTATCTCCTACAAGCATAACGTTGTGAACATTTATCATAATCTTCTGTATAGAGCAGTTAATTGTTTTTTGAGCGACTTCAGTTTGCTTGTTACTGAATATTAAAAAACAGGGGAAATAAACCCTACCAACAGAAAAATAAGCATTTTAAATAAATTATTTTCCCCTCGTGATCCAAATATTATATCTAATATTATTTGATAATCAGAAATGTCAAACTATCATGGAATCACAATATATTTTTCGATCAGCAACAGAAAACACTGTTTTCTATTGTACCAAGTACTTGAACAAAATGAAACTTTTAAACAATTTTTCTGAGGAACATACGTTACCTAGTATTAGCCATGACGCCAAGTCCCTTGAGTTACAGTTTAAATATTTATAAAAACGTACCTAAGTCATATATAATTTACCATGACTGAATCATTACAAAATATACCGGAACTCAGTATAAAAATCAGCAATACTGTAAAGCTACCACATGTAATGGGATAGTGAGCAAGCTAGCTTTACAGTGTCCTGACACTCAGAGCACTCAGATTCTACGGAGAAACTGGTGATAATACACGTACGTTGGAAACAAGAAGAGGCGTGTTACTTCATACGGCTTTTTAGGGATTATTAGATCCTAGTTTAGCCTTTCCAGATTACTATCTTTACACCAATCACCAGCATATTTAATCCATACACCTTGTTGCAATTGTATTTTTTTTAATGGTGTTTTGTCCTTCACTTATAGAAGGACGCTTCTCGGGGTGTTAATTGGTGTTTACTTTACTATATAAATTCAGTTGAGATGATTTATGATCATTATGAGTAATCATCCAGAGTGTATACTATTTTATAATGTGCAAAGTCATAATATTTATGCGTCAATACAATGATAAAATGAATTGAATTAAAGTGATATCTGTAAAGAAAGGGCACATGGAAAATCTGACCCGACTTCTGAAATACACCCTGCACCGTGTTTGCTAGTTGGAGGGTGGGGGTGTGTGGGTGAAGGTATTTGTTTTCTTTGAACACCGATCTAGGTTACATAGTTACATCAGCCCGGGAGCCACCGGTCAGCCGCTAGGTGGCTTTTAACCAAACCGGAAGTTCTAGAATTTGAATTGCGTGCATTTTTTTTAGATTTATAGGGTGTCAGAAACGGTAGAATATCTCGNATATCTGGGTAGGCCGCCGCTTCAGGTTTTGAAAACGAGGCCAAATCTAAAGTTCTCCAAAATAACCGTCATATGAGCCGGTGGCTCCCGGGCTGCATCTGTCACAAATGGCGTATTATTATTATTATCATTTATGTTGCTAGAATTTAATCCAATGTGTTATTGAAATACCTTTCTTTTTTATGTCCATGATACACGTTTTTGAAAGGTGGCCAGTTAAAGTCTTTGAAAAGTTGTTGCTATGGGTAACTGTCCTGGCTTTTTACCAAAAAGTACAAAATGAAAAAAGTTATCGAATTTTAATTTATATCTGAAACCCGTGTGTGACAACTGTTCAAAAGTAACATTCAAGATTCGACAGGCACATCCGCTGTCTACCAGTGCCTGTTGCACATCTACCGCAATAAGCAGAACAGTACGCCACGCAAACCACCCATCAGTGCAGGAAGGTGGAATGTACACGTTACAAAAAAACCTTTTATAACCGAAACCATATTGGATAATGTGGCCTAGCACTGTAACTTTATTTGCTTAGTGAATAGAGAAAATATTACATGATACTGTTTAATTAAGTTAACTAAAGAATAGTAAAAAGGGTCCTGATAACCTTGCGATTTATCTAATTATTTATTTATTTATTTATTTATTTATTTATTTCAGCTACAGCTCTCAATTAACATACCTTTAAAATTATTCTGCAAATGTCTTTAACCAATTGAAATAAAATGTAAAATGCTACTGATTCAAAAACTAAACTTTTGCCATTTGATATAAATACTGTACAACGGAAGAACTTTTTTTCTTTCTTCTCGCTTTTTATTTTTTAATTTGGGAGTTTAAATGTAAAAAATATTTTCCAAAATGTCGATTTCAATATCCCAAATAAGAGCTTTGTAGTAAAAGAAATAAGAGTGCACATCACATTACACAGAATGGAATGGTGCTTTGTAAGTGCAAAATCGCCAGACGTACTCTAGTATTTTGTTAAAGATTTATTTAGCCAATAAATATATAAAATACATAACAATGGGGATTAATTGCCACGTGAAAGAATTATTGTGCTTCATTTAAAATCTTTATAATTGAAAGAATTAAATAGGTTTAAGACTTATAAAAATGTATAAAGTTAAATAATGAAAGCTTCCGGCACATCGTTTGCTGCCCTTAAAAACCAAAACCTAGACTCGCTCGTGAAAAAAAATAAAATGTTAGGAGCTGGATCTGGATAGAACTGTCCCTCACACTGTAAAACATTACCCGTTTATTCCACGGTAAATTACTGGTAGCTGGGGTGCCAGTAATTTACCACGAAAAAGCGGTAGCGAAATAGTCACCGTTTTTGTAATTTACCGTGAAAAAACGGTAGTAAAAAATAGTACTGCCAATAAATTCTGGTACTGTACCGCAATATTGTTATCATTATCATTAAAGAGAGACTAGAAATAATAATTTCAGTTAGTTATCGTTTATTTTCAGAGTATTTTTACATTATGAACACTAGATAATCTTACTACATGTACATGTATACACTATCCACAGTCTCATGATACTACGAATTTCAAAACTGTTCTTCATGTAAGTCTGTCATGTACGTCTCCTAAATAAAATTATTTGACAAATGGCAAAAATTCTCCAATATGTATTACAAATTTCACATGCTTTGAAAATTGGAGATGGCATGCCCAAGTCGAAAATGATGATGATGATGATGTATTTCATAAAAGTGAAAACCTTTTTTTTAATCTACGTTAACTGTTTTGTCTTAAAAAATACTTGTCTATCTTGACCAAAAATAATTAACGTATACCATATATTGTCACATGCTAACAATTCCAGAAAATAGATAAATTACGAGGTATATAATCTTTAACAGCAAATTAAATTTATTAGAGCAATGTTTGTGATGTTACATGTAACCGAGAAATTTTGGAAAAGTAAGTTTTGTCCAACAATATTATTCAAACTTCTTTCACAGGCCTTTTGCGTTCATTCAACATAAACATGTAAAGAATGTCAGTCATATTCTGACGTCATACTCTTCATTACAGAACCAATGTGAAAGATGACTAAACAGAACCTTCAAGTCGCTTATACTATTTTAACAAAATATTTTAACTTCAATACCAGATAAAGTCAGTATTGATAAAAAGTCCTCGGCACTTCACAGGATTTGATAAGTATACACAATGCCTGCAAATTCCCCTTGGTATTCTGGTACTCTCTTTCTCTCCAACTTCCTCCACAGGTTATCGTCTTCGTGTATCTGCAGCCAGTCATCAAAACTCTTTCCTTCATGTCCGACATGTGGGAGGTGGACCTCCCGCGTCGCTATGATCACGTGGCCGCCTATCATAAAAAGCGGACTTTACACTTAATAAACTGTTTTCGTCAAAACCAATTCAAAAATGAGCAGAATATTCCGGAAATGACATAATCTGATTCAAGGCCAATATTCACAACGTTATAAAGATGGCATCACGATTTGTTGGTCGCTAAGCAGTTCGAGTTGCAAAAAACCTAAACACGGCCAACGGCTGATTAGAAAAAAATGCAGGTTTGAACACATATTGAAACTGTACGTTTAAAACTACAAAGGATCTTATGAAGTATTTTGTGTAATGTGGGAAAGTTCCTAGTCAGTACAAGAGACTAAACACCTCCCATACCTGGTTTGGTTATACGTATCAGTTCTGGCAAACAGGCCGCAGTGGCATGGCCAGGTACTATGGTTCCAACACACACTGTACACGTGTAATGTGCTGAAAATCAAACCAGCTAGACTTGAATTACTTCTATTCAAGTTGTTTTCTCGCCCCCTCTTCTCTCTCTCCTTTGATCATACTCAAGGCTTTGTCTGCCCTTTCCAGTGGACAATCGCAGTGCCAATCGCAGGTCAACAATTGGTCAGTTGGTTGATGGAATGAAATTAGCAAGAAGGAAAATGAATTTGGCAAGAAAGGGCCATCCTCGGTTTCAGAGTTTCCTTGCCATTTTTTTCTGTAAACAATACCAAACTTTTGTTCATCAACAAAGGTGACGGAAAATATACGCTGAAACCTGAGTAATTATCAATTTTGTGAATATGACCACCACACAAAATATCCGGGTGACAGACTGAATTCTCTACATATGAATCCGTGTCTGAAATAAAATGCTGGTTAAGATTAAATATTCAAAAGCCAGATATTTTATAAAAAAAGAAAAAAAAAATCACACAAAATGTGTGCAGTATATTACGTCTCCAACGATGACAATATCCAGTTAACCAAACATGGAAAATTAGTCTAGAGAGAGGGATAAAACAGCTAAACCTTTACAAATAAGGCCATACTAAATGGCGAGGTCCAGCAGCAAGCCAAAAACTTTACACACTTAAACCCATTCCAAATATATTATTTCTTACGTCATCAGGCGCCATACTAGTTATTGGCATGGCATTTGAGAACGCAACGTCAATTCATGAGTAATATTAACACCTCGAGGCATGGTTTAAGTTAGTATGGCTCTATACCACCTTCAGGAGGCTCTCTCATATTTTAGAAACATCATTTCTTCCCTAGCGATTTTGATAGAAATTGTAAAACAGAATCTACTCACCATCATGAGTAAAATACGAAAAAGGGGATAATCCAGCTCGTTTTCGAGAGGTCGTATTGGTAAGTCTGTGCGTTGCGTCGTAAACATCCAAAAGTCACCGAGCGTTCTTCGTTAAATGCAACGTGTTGTTGACATATTCGTAATGTTTCGATCAAAATAACAACAATTATGAATTACATATTATATTGCATGTTATATTTTGATCATTAGTCGCTGTCGTAAAATGTACTCAAGCTAATATATAAGAGCCGCCTTAAGTTAGCTACCTGTGGGGATGTCCAACTTGTCAGGTCCCAGATAAGCACAAATGTATTTCATATAAATCCCTTTCTCCTTAGCAACATCTAACATATCTTGGCAGCCATCAAGGGCGTCGATGTAACTGAAACCAGCAGATTGGAGCTGAAAATATGAAAGTAATATAAAATATATAAATATAAAACATATTATGTGTATTTCAAACCGGCCGTCAAATTCAAGATGGCAATATGATTGAAAGTCAGGTATTTACACTTTTTCTTTAATAACTAATTCAATACCCTCCCCCCCCCCCAAAAAAAAAAAAAGAGAGAGAGAGAGAGAGAGAGTAAGAATGTGTTTGCAGTAAAGTTTCATTTCACCTACAATTTATTTTAATAAATTTAAAAATCATACATAATATATAATATATTATATAATATATTGTGCTATGAATACTGATACCTCTTTCCCGACAAGTCCTGTGCCGGCGCCGGCGTCTAATATCAATGCTTTCCTGTCGTCACCCAAGACGTCTTTAACAACCTTGGCCGCGAAGATAGGTCCCTTAGCCAGAACTTTCTGCAAAGATTTATTTCGTGACTACAGTATGATACTGTCCCTGTATTTCTTGGAGGGGATAGTTGTTTTTAAACTCTTAAGATGATATCTTGTCAAAGACTGAAGAAATTCCGGTTGCGTTTCAAAAAGATTTGACAGGACTGCATGCCGACTTTGATATTCTCCAGGTACACTTTAAGCCCCAGATCAGCTTGGCCAATGTCTTTACTCTTAAGTTGACAACAAACTATTTACTAGCGAAGGTCTTATTACGTAGCTGCATATATACTGTATTGTAGGCCAATCGGTCCTAAAACGCATTTAGACAATAATTGATGAACCTCGACCTGACCTCTTGCATCACATGTCACACGCATACGCGATCAGCGTCGAAGCTACGCAAATTGTCACACACACATTGGATCACTTGCTGTATTGGATTAAGAGATAACCACATGCGAAGTTTCCTTCAAAAAACGAATATGCTTTTATGCTTTTGTGTGGTTTATATATATGTATATCTTTCTCGAAAGAGTTTCAAGGCACAAGTCAATTGTCTATATTTTCTTACAAGATTAAATGGATAATATCTCTTGTATGAGATCTATATTTCACAATAGAAAACATTGTAAACAACTCACAGAAATGTAATATATTCTGTTTTACCACAGAAACCGCAGTTATAGCTATTCTGATATCTGAGCTTGTCATCGGACCACGTGACTTCCATAGATGGCTATACTCTGTAACAATCTCTTAAAAGATTATTACGAAAAAAAACTTTTTAGAAAAAAAAAAAAAAAAAAAAAAAAAAAAAAAAAACAGGGACTAACTTTGAATGTAGAAATGGATTCATTACCATTGGTAAGTATGGGAAAATTGTCGTTAACTCCAGGAAAATTCATTTTTTTTTTTTTTTGGCTAAAACGCACAGTTATTATTCCTTTAACTAGTCAAGACTCTTCAAGAAACGCCGTGCAGGCCCTGCGCAATTAATTCGGATTTTGAAGAAAATTAACTTTTCACGTGATGTCGAAAACGTTATAACAAGCGAAGTTTCACATGAAAAACGAATAAACTCTTATATTGTGTGTACCAGCTTCCTTGGCGGAGGCCCGCGCTCTAAGAGTGCTTTTCTAGTATGAAAATATCGAGTTATGTTGTAGAAAGACTTACTATCATGCTTTGGTCATATGAATTGGCCCAGGATTTATACATGTCCATTACTTGCTCAACAGTTATCCCTGGAGTGGTGATTGAATCGACAACCTGCCGGTCTTTCTCAGCATCAGCCGACGTCATTTTGTCTTGTTTTTTTTTTTTTTTTTTTTTTTTAATTTATGGGTGTCAAACCTGGAAGAAATTGGGTGAAGAACAAGAATGAATTTAAGAAAATACACAGTTATTAAATGTTTTTCTAAACAAATTATGCTTGCTGTAGAGTGCCCATGCATACAAATGATAGTTTAGCGTCAAATGATGCAACTTTTGCAGATCAAATGATTAATACGCCAACTCTAACCCGCCTTCCCTGCTGGGGATACAATCATATACACGGTTGTTATTTGCCAAATACGAGGGAGGGAATCCAAACCTACCATGGCCCATAGGAGCCTACGCGTGCGTCTTTTAGACGCCCCTTTACATGCGAAAACGACAAGGCCTATGCCGAGTTCATCTTTTACTACAGAGATTTGAGAGCCGAAAATGACATGGCTGTGTCTCTTTCGCCACTTACTGAACTCCAGAGATGCGAGATTGACACGACCCATGTCGCGTTTGTCTCTCAAAAGACACTGTTATAAAACATGAAATAGGCATTACGTGTGATTTTAGCAGCTGAATAAGTAGACCCTTATAAACGAAGTTGACGTGACCTTAGAGTCATGTCGCTTTCAACTTTTACAAACCTCCAACAAAATCTATCTCCACACAGACGCGCGCGACATGTACTATTGGACATGGGTCAGTTGAAAGCGACATTAACCTAAATGGCTCCTGTTACTTTCAGCCAACTCTTATATGTCAAATCCAATTAATTTGAAACAGTGTTGTGCTGTCCCAAAACATTTTTTTCATTTTAATCCCATCATAATTTAGTGCTATCTTGATAACAGTGTAGCTAATTGCTTGTAATAATTATATGGCCTCATATTTTTATTTTCAAGGATTCAAATATAAAGGGTTTTAAGACGGTCCTTCTGTTTCAAATTAATTGGCTGAAAGTAACATGAGCCATTTAGGTTAATGTCGCTTTCAACTGACCCAGTGTCTTTTGAGAGACAAACGCGACATGGGTCGTGTCAATCTCGCATCTCTGGAGTTCAGTTAGTGGCGAAAGAGACACAGCCATGCCATTTTCGGCTCTCAAAGCTCTGTAGTAAAAGACGAACTCGGCATAGGCCTTGTCGTTTTCGCATGTAAAGGGGCGTCTAAAAGACGCACGCGTAGGCTCCTATGGGCCATGGTACAAACCAAAAGTACAGGAGTGTGTTTCAATATATTCCGAAGGTTCACTAAGCCGAAGGTCTGCCATGCCCGAATTCAGTACAGTGGACTAATTAGTCCGCGGATCATATACGGCGACCCACTTAAAAGCTTGCCGTCTGATCCTCTAACGGGCACTGAATAGATTCCCCACGGGGATTACACAACAAACATTCAAGTGGGTCGGTAATATTTGATCCGTAGACTAGATAGTCCGCTGTTGTGAACGCAGCCTGTGAGCGCATTCAGTACAGCGGACTAGCAGATCCGCAGATCAAATATGACAACCCACTAAAAAGCTTGCCGCTTAATTCCCGATTTGAAACTGAATAGATTCCCCACGGGGATTACGCAACAAAATTCAAGAGGGTTGGCCATATTTGATCCTCGGGTCTGTTAATCCGCTGTTCTGAATGCGTTCTTAGTCTGCTGTTTTTGAATGCCCTCTATGGCGAAAGTTCGCTGTTTAGAAATAATTGTACATTTACAGATGGAGCGCAAAGATACAGACAAAATACAGTAAACAAATGCCTAATGGTTTCTAATGTGGTAAAAGTCGAAGCGTTCTTGGCGAAATGTAGCATTTGGTATTCTTATTGCACTACTGCATTACTACAACAAAGCATAGGTGGGTGAATAACACATTATATCGTGCTATAAATTAGTCCTATAATTCTTAGTTGTTGCCATAAGGAACTACTCATACGCGAAATCTGGGCAGATTGCAAAAAAAATCAAATATGCAAGAGCCTTCTTAATATGTTTCTTTGACACGAAGGTGTCTAATGTGCACTTGCTCGCCCCAATTACGCAACTGATTTTTCGGCACATACTGTATGCGAGCGCCTCCTAAATATGTATCTTTGACACGAAGGTATAGTGCTCACCCCAATTACGCAACTGATTTTTCGGCACATACTGTATGCGAGCGCCTCCTAAATATGTATCTTTGACACGAAGGTATAGTGCTCGCCCCAATTACGCAACTGATTTTTCGCCACATAACGCTGACCCCGTAGTACAGTACGCTATATAGGTTGCTGCTGACCCCTCGCATTCCATCTCTTTCCATATGTACTGACAAGATGTACACTCATGATAATATGTGCAAGAGGGAACTTCATGTCTAGACTTTCTTCGCGTACATTTATTGAGCATTCCTATTTATATAGAAAATGAAGCTGGATTGTAACGGCTCTGAAAACGACCGAAATTATATTCACCTACCCTGTTATCAACTATCCCGGTCCGCTAATACATGTAGATCAAACTGACGCTAACAGATCACGTGACAACCGATATAACGCACATCGATCACTATGTACTCGGTTTAACCTGCGTGTCCATGCATCTCCTGCACTGTCTGCTTGACACATTATGTAATATATTCTCACTTGACCTCTAAGGGGCTGTTCACAATAAGTTAGGTCGCAATAGCTAGTGTGGACTAAGATTGCGTTCCCACCTTATCGTACTAGCAAGATAGATCTATCTCAGCGGGAGAACTACAGAGAAACTAGTGATTATACAAGTACAAGGAAACAAGAGGAGACGTGTTACTTCAGACGGCTTTTTAGGAATTATTATAGACCATTCCCAGACCCTATCGTACCAACAGTACGTGGATCGATCTATCTCCGAGGGGATTCTCGCCATATTGCAATCAACTCAAGCGGCTTAGATGTCTGTCACGCCTACTGAAGCTGCTAAGGGTTAATTAATCATCGTTTAGCAGCTTTGGTAGGCGTGCAAGACATATAAGCCGATTAAGCTGAAAGCAATTTGGCGAGAAACGCCTCGGAGATGGATCGATTCTGTTAGATCGATCTAGTTAGGGAATCTAGTATAAGATCCTGGTTAAGTCTCTCCAGATTACTATTATAACACGGTAGTGTTACAAATTTTAGTAAGAACTTAATTTAAGTTTTAAAAACATTTAAAATTCATTAGTTACAATAAGATTGCAAAAACAACATAAGTCTCATTAGACGTTCAAGCACTGACCAAACATAATAACCTTCCGATCTCAGGCCAGCGAATGAGTGCCGTAATTAATCACCTCTAGTGGTCGGCAAACGCGTCAATTAAATTGCAAGCAGAGGACAGAGCAACAGCAGATATATATAGAAAGATTTAATTGATTATCTCTTGGTGTCATGTATTAGTATTTAATAAGCACTTCGCTAGTTCAGGAAAATGACCAGTTCCGGTTCGGTCAAAATTAAATATTAAGAATCAAAGAACCGGGCAAATCACACTATTTAAATCGAAGGTCTAGAATCAGTATTTCTAATAATTAGGTAAATGTTGAATCAAAAATGTCCATCCTTGACGTGAGATGTGAACCACCTGTCGCCCTAATTTTGTTATAAAAATGCAGCATTTTGCCGCATTCGGAGTGTTCGGCAAGTGTTCGGCAAGTGTCCGGCAAGTGTTCGGTAAATGTTCTGCGAGTCGGGAAAGTAGTAGCATAGGAAGGAGTAACTGAGGGAGAGACGTTCTGGTCACATCTTCAACTTGATGTAGTCCGTGTGCGCAGAATAAAATTCCTTTTAGAGGAAAAAGAGAGTTGTTTATAACTTTACAGTGACGCGCTTTTATCACACGTAAAAGCCCCCGTCACACTATCTTTACGCCCATCACCAGCACATTTAATCCCAAACACCTTGTTGGATTTTATTAAATGGTGTTTTGTCCTTCACATTTAGAAGGATACTTCTCGGGGTGATTATTGGTGTTAACATAGTACTATATAAATTTAGTTGAGATGATTTATGATAGAAGGAGAAGCCGTCTAGAATGTATATTATAATGTACAAAGTCATGATATACAATGGCGGATCGAGGATTAATTGAAAGGGGGGTTCGCGGATGCGAAGCCGACCTTACCCCCCCCCCTTTCATAGATATTAGGTATCTTGTAAATAAATCTTTTTAACACATGCAAAATAATGAAGGTAACGTATACCCAGCTTACCCAGATAACAGGGTTATATATTGGTAAGACCATCAACAAGTGTTAAGAGAACGTTATTCTAACGTTCTACACTGCCACTGTCATCATCATTGATCCATGGCCAGCAAGTTCTATTAACGTATATAAATTTTGATAAAATTTACAAATTATACATTTTTGTTAATTTTGACAAAAACACATGAACAAAGGATTTCATATTTTGCATTTTGCACAACTTTAATCATCACATCTAGTATTAAAACGTTCTAACAATTTTATAAAAAATAAAAAGATATGTGTCGCTTATATTTACCAATATAGCAAGCAGTAATCACGTCATACATGTACGCTCTCGGTATAACGTTGGGCATCAAGCCTGCGTCACGCTGTCTTAACTATACCTAGTGGCTGATTACAAATTGGGGTTGGGGTTAGTCGGTGACTAGAGGGATGAGGATTTTAGAACTCTCGGGCAAGTCGGTACCTACTCGAAATTACCAATCGACATGATGAAAAGCTTTAAAAAACTATAAAAATAGACTTCAATTTATGTAATAAGATTTATCAAAATTATTTAAAAAATGTTTTCAAGTAATCCTGATAGTTGATTGGCATTTGTGACAAATAAATGGATTGTTTTAACTTCATTTTAGAAAATTCATTCTAATTAATTGCTTACAAGGTCAGCTAACACAGGAGTAGTCATATGATAGACAAGTTAGGTTTAGTGGAGAAAAGCCACTCAATCTGTGAGATGACAGGTGGGGCGATTCCATTCCATTCCATTAGAGGGTTGGCAGGTGGGGAAAGTCCATTGCATTCATAAGGGGTGGAAGGTGGGGCGAGTCCATTGCATTAGAAGGGGTGACAGGAGGGGCGGGTCCA